CTTTCCCTCCCTTTTCCCCTGACAATCAAGGAAATCAAAAGAACACTTGAGTAATATTTAAGAGATCTGGGTGGTCTCAGCTGCTGCTGCTGCTGTTGCTGCTGCTGCTATTACTACTACCATTACCTTCTCTATTACTAACTAAAAAGTCAGTTAACCATTCTGGGCTTTGGCTTTCTCATCCTTAAAAGAAGACTGAGTTGGAGTATGTAATCTTTCAAGACATAGTGTTCCAGAATTTTTAAAACCTGCAAGTTTAAAGTAAATTAGATTTCAGAATTGTAAAGTAACATTTGATTCTTGCATTTCAAAATATTAGTAGCTTTATCTTAATTGGGGTTTTTGGGGAAAGCATTTGTGATTTCATGTTCTACTTTTATGGTTAATTTTCTTTTCTAATTTATCAGTGCTCCCTCACGTGTTGCTAAAGGAGTTGTTGAGCACACCAAAATGAGTCTACATGGTGCTAGTGGGGGACATGAGAGATCAAGAGATAGGCGAAGGTCAAGTGACCGATCTCGAGATTCATCTCACGAAAGAACAGAATCTCAGCTCACTCCTTGTATTAGAAATGTTACTTCTCCAACACGACAGCACCATGTTGGTATGTAAAATCAACTAAGCTTCCCAGTGGTTTTTAAAAGCATGCATTTACCTTTTTTTTTTTGGCCACGCCTCTAGGCTTGCAGCATCTTAGTTTCCCGATTGATCCTGGCATTGAAAGCGTCAAGTCCTAATCACTGCACCACCAGGGAATTCCCAATACATTTACCTTTTTAATGCAGTAATGGCAATGATTTGTGCCTAATACTTCAGAGTAAAATTAACTTCTTACTTCTGTTCATTGCTTCTGTTTTAGCTTAGCTTGGTTCTTGCTGTGAAAAAACAGCTTATTAAATGAAACTTAAAAGTGAATTTCTTTTAATAGTCTGGGACAGTCTTATAAAAGAAATAATTTGAACAGCCTTTAAAACTGTAATATGTAGATTTAAAATTTTTTTTACGTGATTTTTATCTTGTGAGATATTGAGCAGTGGTTTATTTAAAAATAGTTTGTAGTGAATTATTGATAAGAATCCTTGTTAATCATATTAAAAAAGGAAGTGAAAGAGTAAGCATCGTAAGGTAATTTATCTTGATTTTTAACAATATTTTAAATTTAATTAAAAAAATAGAAGAGGAAAAGGAAGGTGTGAAGTGGTTTTTTTTTTTCTTTTCTTGACAACTAGCTCGGGTCTTTTTCTTCCTTCCTACTTATTACTGTAAATGAATGCTGTTACCCCAGGTAAATACATTGTGTGACTGTAAAACAGCAGTCTGAAGTGGAGGTACATAAACAATGTGAGCTTGCTGATTTTTATTTTCCACTCAGAAGTGGCAAATTAAATAATTTGACTTACTATTTGAGGTAGTTTCTGAAAACCTCGTATAAACCAAAATCATTTATATTAGGGTCTGATTATGTGGAGACGTTTTCAGCATATAAGTAGGTCTTAAAAGTCAGACTAATACTGATAAGCTAAAAACCAACAAAAGTATAAATAAGAGTTGACAGTTATATGCAAAGTTTAGTATCTGGAAGGACAATAGGAGATACATTGTTTTATTACTTTAGCAAATTTTACTTTTGGGATGCTACCAGCCTTGTGGAAATAAGCAATAAAAGGGAGGTGTCAGGGTATCTCTGGAGATACAGCAAACCTAATTATATAACCAGTAAAGCTGTACAGAGTGTTCTAAGTAGCTTGAGTCATGGAGGAATTTGGCAAAAGCTGATGAAACTGATGAGATGGAGGTACATTTTTAGGTCACCTTTAAAGCTAGATTACTAAATCTAGCCTCTAAAGGAAACTTATCACAAAATCTTAGTTTTAATGTCCCTTTTGTAGACTATTGGAACCACTAAAGAAAATTTTCTGACTTGCAACAATGTTTCCTATTAAAATTATAGCTAATAATATGATCCTATAAAATTTTAGTAGTGCTTTATTCAAAAATGAGAATGAGAACAAAGCAGTATATCATAAGCTATTAAAACCACTTAATTTGCTAAGACATTAAAAGTCATTTGAGGGCTTCCCTGGTGGCGCAGTGGTTGAGAGTCCGCCTGCCGATGCAGGGGACATGGGTTTGTGCCCCGGTCCGGGAAGATCCCACATGCCGCGGAGCGGCTGGGCCCATGAGCCCATGTGTGTCGGAGCCTGTGGCTCCGCGGCGGGAGAGGCCACAACAGTGAGAGGCCAGCATACAACAAAAAAAAAAAAAAAAAAAGTCATTTGAAAACATAAATATACTTCTTAATGTCTGCAGTGAAATTTTTTTCTTCCCTTGGGACCTTCCTTTTGTGAGACAAATAGCTGGTTTGGGGATTTCCTTATTAACATAGTAAGAGTCCAAAGTTTGTACTTTGTGTTTTCAGAATAGTGTTAATACTTTCAGTGTTTAGGAGAGTTAAAATTGTTATTAATCTTTTACTAACTTTTAATGCTTATTTATGTGACTTCTGAGAATATTCCTCTCCTTGGGTTTCTATATATTTTTAAGTAGAGCAATAATATAAAATTTACCTTACTTTTGATCTTAGTCTGGGTCAACATTAGTCAGCTATACATCGTTTTTAAAAAGTCTACAAAATTAATTTTTTTAGAAAACAATTTGATGTTTTAGATTTCATTCCTAGAAAATAAATGAACATATATGATCTGTGAAAATTTATTTGAAATCAAAAAAGCAGAAATGCAGTGATATAAAACAGCTTTTCTAAATCACAGTTTTTAAAAGATATATATAAATCTCAAATTTTTAAAAAGAAAATTTGCATAACTTTAACATCTATATTTCAGAACGTGAGAAAGATCACAGCTCCTCTCGTCCAAGCAGTCCTCGTCCTCAAAAAGCATCTCCAAGTGGTTCCAGTAGCAGTGCTGGGAACAGCAGCAGAAACAGTAGTCAGTCAAGTTCAGATGGTAGCTGTAAGACATCTGGGGAAATGGTGTTTGTGTATGAAAATGCAAAAGAAGGAGCTCGGAATGTAAGAACGTCAGAACGAGTGACACTAATAGTGGATAACACTAGATTTGTTGTAGACCCATCCATTTTTACTGCACAGCCAAATACAATGTTGGGCAGGTTTGTATTGCTGTTCTTTGTATTATTAATTATAAAGCACTTTACCATTGCTTTGGGTTTTTTTCATTTAAAGTTTTACAGTAATTCTCTGGTGGAATACAGTGTCCCTGCTGAGCTTTTGAGGTTAAATAATCTGCTGAAGTTAATCCGGCTAGAAAGTGGTAGAGCCAGATCTTGAACTTGTTTTTATTTCAAATAGTCTTTGCTATACCAGTGGAAATAGCAAATATATTAGTTAAATGAAGACAGGAGACTAAAAGATCTCTATAGGTTGAAAGCATAGATTGTATTTAACAAGGTGAATTTAACAGTGATAATGGTTCCTTCACTTAGGGCTCCCAAATTCAACATCCAAATACAGCAGGTATCAGCATTTCGTTAGCTGAAAAGTTAGCATGAGTTATCAATTTGATGTAGATACTTAAAAAAGAAATAATATTAACAAGTAGTTAGTAGAATGAAGGAGAGATAATTGTCTCTTAATCTGTACTAGTCTGGAGTAATAGATTAATATAAAGTTTTTAGTTACGGGAACCACAATCTAGAACTGATATAAGACAATATGGACTAGTTATGGGAACTTCTGTCTAAGAATATAGACTTGATTTTTCAAAGTGTTCAAAACTATGATCAGGGCTTCCCTGGTGGCGCAGTGGTTGAGAGTCCGCCTGCCGATGCAGGGGACACGGGTTCGTGCCCCGGTCCAGGAAGATCCCACATGCCGCCGAGTGGCTGGGCCCGTGAGCCATGGCTGCTGAGCCTGCGCATCCGGAGCCTGTGCTCCACAACGGGAGAGGCCACAACAGTGAGAGGCACGCGTACCGCAAAAAAAAAAAAAAAAACTAGGATCAAACACCTTTTAATTGTAAAATTAGTGCCTTTTTTCCATTCATTCTAATATAAAACGAAGGAGACACATAAATGAAATGGAAGTTTACATGAGGTAAGAAAAAAAAAACGTGTTTTTTTTTTTTAAACTTGTGTTTTTTGCTAGGTTGCATATGTAACTATTTGGCGTACATCTGTGTGTGTGTGTGTGTGAGTGTGTGTGAGTGAGAGAGATTTGTAAGTATCTCTGAATACCGAATAAATGCCAGCATGTGATACTGTTTACATTTTAAGTAGACAAATATTTCCTTTTAACATTGGCGCTAGACTTTACATATGTACAAAAAAAAATACTTGAACTCTATAGGCTTTTATGTATTATTAGAAGCATAGGGAAGATTGTTGATGGGAGCTCTTAAGAGTATGACTCAACACTGATAATACTTTATATTTTTACTTAAACTGTAGAGGAACACAGTTAGAAGGTAGAAGTAGATATTTGAAATTTTTCTTCAACTGATAGGCTACATTTTTCTTAAAACAAAACAAATGCAAAAGATTTTTTGTGTGTTTGTGATCCATATTGATCTGAAAAGTATAGCTTTCCCCTTTTGTAAAAATTTCAAGTATTTGAGAAAATTGCATGACATTTGATTCCTGAAAGACTCTCTTCTTTTTTTCCCAAATCAGTGAAGGCTTCTTTTCATGTCAGTTGACGAAAGCATATCTTTGGGGATGAAAATTAATATTCATGGGAACTGTAAAAAACAGTTGGCATTCTTTTGGAAACTTTGAAATAAAAAAGCTTTGTTGTTTATAGGTTTCTGTGTATAACAAAAGAGGGAACTATTTAAATTGGGAAATTGTTGAATAGAAAACTTAGATCAGCCATATTTACTTTAGGAATGGTGGCATCATTGAATTCAGAGGTTCAAATTCCTTTAATCACAATTTTAAAATTTTCTTGGGAGTTATGCATTCAGCTTTTCATTTTGAAGGACCTGTTTTGCAAATTGCCTCTTTTCTAAATAGTTACTGTTAAAGGGCCAACAACATGACTTGAAAAAATATAAATTCATTTGTATTTTCTTTTTGTAAAAATTAAGAGCTTGTTATTTATTTAGAATTTTCATTCTCTTCTTAACTTGGTCATTCCTCCCTACCCCAGCATTTGATTGCTTGTTTTTCAGTTCTGGAATGCAAGTAGAAGAATTTTGTGCAAAATTTGTTACATTTATAGTTAAGATTGTGAAAAGTAACCTAATCTGCATACCCTTATTTTACTTTTTTCTAGTTTAGATTACTATATGTGCTTCTTTATAGAATAACTTTGCATTGAAGACAGTAGTTTTAAGGAAAAGGCACAGATAGCATAGTTTTCCCTCCCTCCCTCTCTCCCTCCCCTCCCCTCCCTCCTTGCCTTCCCCTCCTCATCCTCTCTTCCCCCTCCCTCCCTCCGTCCCTCCCTTCCTTCCTTTCTTTCTTTTTCTGGTTAAAATTAGTATAAGAATTTCTCCTAGATTGATGGTTTTTTTTTCCATCCCCTGAGGTGAAGGGACTAGAAAGTTTTTTAGCTTCTGAATTTTATTAATTTATTTTGTTTTCTTATAGGGAATCTTTACTACTGTTTCCTCACACAAAAACATATTTTAATATTCCTTCATTTATTACATTTGTCTGAATAAACTTCTGATAAACATTCTTGAACTAATTTAATGACATAATTTAATGCTTAAATTATAATTCCTTTTTACTTTTGTACATGAAAACAATTTTCCCTTTTGAAGGAATATCTTAGTGATATATTTCCCAATTATTTGCTACCATAGGATGTTTGGATCTGGCAGAGAACATAACTTTACACGTCCCAATGAGAAGGGAGAGTATGAGGTGGCAGAGGGGATTGGCTCTACTGTGTTTCGAGCTATTCTGGTGAGTGCTCTTTCTTATGTGTATTGATTGAATCAGTTGACCCCTTCTTGTTAGGTACTTGGATTGGAAGCAGAGTTCTATTTGGATATCTCTATGGAAGTATCCAGGGCATTTAAAAAAAATACAATTTATCTTTTTTTGCTGTGTAAATATATGATATAAATAAATTTTATATCCTTCATAAAGATAAGATAGGGGATAATTCATCTCTTAGGTCTGCACAGGCAATTCTTTCAAGAGTTTAGTGGTAACATTTCTATAGTCACATTACTCCACCCTCCTTAATTCTATTAAATACAGTAAGTTGATAATTTTTTACTACCAGAGAATAAATGTGGCTACTGGAATTCTAATATTTTATTGCATATAACTAACAATGGACACTTACGAACATTTAAAAGTCATCTCTAAAATGTATTTCTTACAATCTTTGTTTTAAAACTTAAAAAAAAATTTAACTTTTTATTTTGAGGAATATTTGAATTAGTACTACAAGTTCCTACTTAGAATTTTAAATCAGTGATAAAGGTTTGATTTACAGTGTGTGACAGTTTATGCCACAGTCTGAAAATATGGTTTCCTTAAATAGTTTTGTGGGAAGAGGAGAGGGAGGATCCTGAGGTACAAGACAGGAAAAGTAGTTGATAATGATCAATACTAACAAGTACTTTGAAAAGTACCAGAAGATGTCTTGCTTCCATTCATGTAACAACTTCAGATATAATGTTGCTGTGGCTCTGAACCTCAAGAAGCTTGAGGCAGATCTTAATTTGGGGGGAAGTGCCTTTTCAGCCGCCCATACTTACATTTGACCAAGTTGATAAGTTTACTCCGTGACTCAGCTATGCAGTAACTTATCTGTAGCTCTCGGCCAGCCCCTGACAGCATTTTAAGTAGATTTTGGGAATAATTACTATTATTGTTTGTAACAATGTGGGCAACACCAAAGAACAGTATTTGGAAGAATAATATCTAATTGTGTGTTCTGTTTGCATATATTTGAATACTTGGATATGATTTTGAAGTTCTTTACTAAAAACCTTAAATTTTGCTCAATTCTCTAGGTAATATTTAAGGTAACTTAAAATATATCATTTAACTTCCTTAAAAACTTTTTAAAAAATGCATGGTACTTATGTAGACAAATAATTTGTAAGGGGGGGAATACATATACATTAGCATGATATAGTAGAGAGAAGAGATGCATAATTAATGAGGAGACCTGGGTGCTAATCTTACCTCTGCTGTTAAATAATTTTATAATAACTGGGTGAGTCAGTGAACCCATTTGGACATAAATTTTTCTTGTTGGTAAAATGAAAAAGTGGTTAGGTGAACAGAGGTCCCACCTAACTTTAAAATTCCACAATTCCTCAGAGTACCACGATTTTTGGAAATTCTACCAGCCCAACCTTAATAATAAGTTTTGCCTACCTCGTGCACTAGATGTTTTATGCATTCTTTACTTTTTTTTTTTCAGGATTACTATAAAACAGGAATAATCCGTTGTCCTGATGGCATATCTATTCCTGAACTGAGAGAAGCTTGCGACTATCTTTGTATCTCTTTTGAATATAGTACTATTAAATGTAGAGATCTCAGTAAGTATGATGTTTTGTGTGTGAGTGTTTGTGGAGTTAAAATATATTGGAATGAAATGCCTGAAATAATGCTGTTTACCTAGACTTCAAGTATTTGTTTAATTGAATTCTAGAACACTAATACCATGAAGATTATTTGTGAAAGTCCACAGGAATTTTTGTAAGCTCTTGGTGTAATTTTCCAAAACTTTCTTTCAACTTTAATAATTTTTTTGTTTATAGACTCTCCCAGATTTCCTCTTCAACTGTCTCCTCTATCATTTGTTGCCAGTCTTCATCTCCCAGCTTGGGAGCCCTGGCTTTGGCCAAGTGTGGTATTTGCCTGCACTCCTCAGATCACATCAACCAAAAATTTATAATTTTTTTGTACTTGCCATGTAATATAACATCCTAAGCCACTTTGAAAGATAGAAATAATTCTCAAAAAGAGTATTTGTCATTAAAGATTTTAGATTGAATACCAAGTACCTAGCCTTCATTTATACAAAGGGTTAAATGACTTTATCCAAGAACTTCAAACATAGTCTCAGAGCAGGGTCTAGACCTTTGGAAATCTTAACTCTGTGATTGATATTTTCCTGTCACCCCCTTCCTTAGCACCCCTCCCTTTTACTGTTACATCATGCCTAAGAAAAAAGGTGATTATACACAGAAAAGTCAAAATGTATATGAGAATTATCAAATGTTGACTTGTATATTAAGTGGTTGGAAAAGTTCAGAAGAAGCAGATGTCACTGTGGGCTAGTGGGATCAGGGAAGAGTTCAGAGGAGACAGGTAGTAAAGAGTGAATAGGAATGATTTAGCAAGAATGGAGTAGGAAGGTTACTCATTTGGGGATTACAGATGTAAGTGATAGACTTTGGAAATAACCTAGTTGGTGCAGAGACTATATTGGGACTGGAAGGAGATGGGAATAAATAGGGGGGCCAGATTATGGAAGGTCTTTAAACTAATATTCTTACATTTTATCCTATACAATGTGGGAAGCCATTTTAAAAGTTTGCTACCTGTGATTATAGATATATGTTAGTCCCAGATATATGGTTATATTTACTTCATTACCTAAACTCAACACTAGTTTAGCAGAGTGGGGGTCATACCTTCTCAACATTGATGTGTTAGAAATTGTGAATGGGAAATTTTATTTGAATTTGTAAGGCAACTACTATATATTTAAATGTAGCTAACCTTCATGCTTAATTATGATCTAACTTCTTGAAAATGAGTGGCCTTATTAGGTCTGTTCCTAAGTACCATTTTCTTTTGCCAGATATTTAAAGTCTCCATAGGGACAAAGGATTGGATGGTCCACCTTTGAGTCCATTTCTATATAAATGATATTTAAAAGTTTAAAGTCAAGTAGCTGGACAGCTGAAGCATACAGCTGTAAACTTGAACAAAGTTTTCACATCTTAAAAAATGTTTTTTTGAAATCATGAGCATTAATTCTAATTTATAATTCTTTGACTTCAAGTTTTGTGTTTTTTTATTCATGGGACCATTTTAATTTAACTTTATATGATTAAATGTTGAATTTTGGTGACTGTCAGATAAAAAAACAAGAATTCCTTGTAGATGAATGGATTTTAGTTCTGTAATCCTTTGGACATAGTTTACCTTGTCATCACTGTTAAGTATCATTTATTTGTTATGGAATTAAAGGTAAGAATATTTATGTGTAGTAGAAAGAAAATATGTGTAATATGGTTTTTCTAAACTTTTGGCCTTTAAATAATACTTGTGTTTCTAGATTACTTGTAATATGTATTACTGGAAATTTAGAGATTCTCATAGACTTTATTGCAACAAAGCTATATAGAATTTGAAGAGATAGAAATGGTCTTGTAAAATATAAAAGGATACTGTAGGTGTAGACTTGAGTCCAAAAATGAATTTTTTCCTGCAAATATATGCCTTTACTGAATATTGTAATAGCACTTTACACCAAAATGTCTTTTTGTCTCTTAGTTAAAATTACAAAAGTACTAAATGTATATTGAACAGAGCATCCTGGATTTCTTGGGCAAGTTACTTAAAACCTTGTTTCTTAGTTGCCTCATCTTTAAAATGGGAGACAGTAATATTACTTACCTCACAGGGTTGTTGTGAAGATTAAATGGATAGTGCTTGACACATAGTGTTAAATAAGGGTTTGCTTTAAAAAAAAGGTAGCAAAATTAGGAAATAAAGGTGAAGTAAAATAAAAAATATTAAAGGATCATATTGTACATTGCTATTTTATATTTCCACATGAAAATATATTGTGAATAACTGTATTAGAAAATATGCTTTAATAACAACTTGTTTAATGGTTTACATAGTTATCACTCATTTTCTGCATTTTTATTGAATACTCACTTTATACTAAATATTAGGTATGTAAAAAGCAACAAGAAAAGACAAGACCCCTGTCCTTATCATGCTCGCAGTATAGTGGGAAAAACAGATAAGTAAATTACATTGTGTTAGAGGAAGACTAGGGTACTAAATGAGCATGTAGGAGCTGTACCTAACTTAGGTGTGCGGGCTTGAGGAAGCTTTCTGGAGGAGAGGGAAGAGGAAGTGTGTTTCAGGCAGAAGGAATGCTATGCTTAGTGGCAAGAAGATTAGTACAGTGAGGAAATGACTTGTTAATCTTCTGTCATAGAGCTTACCATATAGTGAAGGAACTTTGGTTGGTAGCTCCCCAGCTAGGCTATAATTTCTTCACTGTCTGTATTCTCTTACCAGGTAAGCACTGTAATCCAGAAGAGGTTTTGAGAACCAGGGCTGGACTCATAAGTGAAGGCCTGGGGCTAAGAGAAATGAAAATACAGTGTTCAGGGTGAAAGTGGTATGGAAAATGAAATTTGAAGTTTGCAAAAGGACCAGTTCAGAAGGCCCAGGAAGAAAGGCACCATCCATGTGGGAGATAGTGGGATTGTAAACAAAGATCAAAAACTGAAGTTACATTTAGTTTGAGAAGGGAAATAAGAGGCAGAGACTACGTTTGGAGTCACAGAAATATAGAGACACTGAAACGACAGAGACACTTGTATGTTTTCTCTCTGTCTCCTCTCTCTTTCCTCCCCCCTCCTCTCTCTCTCTTTCTCTCTCTCTCCCTCCCTCCCCCCTGCCCCCCTCTCTCTTTCTCTCCCCCACCCGTCTTGCTCTGTTTTTCAGTTTTTAGCATTGAATCAGTTTGAATTTGAGGACAGGGACTATACCTTTTCAACTTTGTGTCCGTAGTGCCAGGCACATAGTAAGGATTCAATAAACATTTGTTGAAAGAATAAACTCTTTTTATCCCTTCATGCATTGTTCCACTTACTGTCATCTTCTCTAGTATCATTAGTCTTTCCCTCTTTGTATAGAGTAATCCTCAGGCTCAAACATACTCAAATCTGACCTGTGTCTATTGTAGACATTCAAAAAACTATATCATTTGAAAACTTGAGCTTTTCATTGATTCTTTGAAGTTAACTTTTTGCAAGAATTAACACGTTTATTATACTGACTCCTGCTCCAACTGCTGTGTCTTTCCATTTATTCACTTTTCTTTTATGTCTTCTGCAATGGTCTTACTAAGTTTATTTGGTATTTTGTATTTTTGTTACTGTTGTGTGTAGAATATGTTCAGATTTTCTAACTGCTAACATGAGAAAATTATTGAATTTTGTATATTTGTGTTTAGCCACCTAACCAAACTCTGTTTTATTTCTAATAGTTTTTCAGTTGTTTCTTTTATATGCTTGGTAGATAATTGACCCTGTTGTAAGTAAAACTTTTTATATCTTTTTGTCTTACTGAATTGACTATAATATTTTGAACAACATTAAATTTAGTGGTAATTCTGGTACCCTTGTCTTTAAAGGCATTTCCTTTAGGTTTCACTGTTAAGTCACTCTTTCTTCAAGACTTCGGCTCTTTGACATCCATCTTTTAGGTCTTCTGCTTATTTTCCTCTCACGTGCTCCCTGATCCTTCATACGTTGAATGTGGTCCTTCCCAGCTGTTCTGTCTTCAGCTACCTTCTCTCTCACAGAATCTGTACAATTAATCTAAGTGATGCCATTCATCACTGTGGCTTCAGATATTACATATACACTACAGATTTCCAGCTGTTTTTTTTAATGTATTATTTATTTTTGGCTGCATTGGGTCTTTGTTGCTGCGCACGGGCTTTCTCTAGTTGTGGCAAGCAGGGGCTACTCTTCATTGCGGTGCGCGGGCTTCTCGTTGCAGCTGGCTTCTCTTGTGGAGCACGGGCTCTAGGCGCCCGGGCTTCAGTAGTTGTGGCTCGCGGGCTCTAGAGCGCAGGCTCAGTAGCTGTGGCACACGGGCTTAGTTGCTCCGCGGTGTGTGGGATCTTTTCAGACCAGGGCTCGAACCTGTGTCCCCTGCATTGGTAGGCAGATTTTTTTTTTTTTGCCGTACGCGGGCCTCTCACTGCTGTGGCCTCTCCCGTTGCGGAGCACAGGCTCCGGACGCGCAGGCTCAGCGGCCGTGGTTCACGGGCCCAGCCGCCCCGTGGCATGTGGGATCCTCCCGGACCGGGGCACGAACCCGTGTCCCCAGCATCGGCAGGCCGACTCTCAACCACTGCGCCACCAGGGAAGCCCGGTTGGCAGATTCTTAACCACTGTGCCACCAGGGAAGTCCCTCCAGCTATTTATCTCTAATTCCTACCTACCAGTTACATATTTCTAGTTTACTATTTAACTTGCATAATTTTTTTTCTTCTTAATCAGGCTTTTAATGACTTCCATGCATATAGTACATAAAATGATGAACAAGACAGACATTGTCCCTGCATTTATGGAGTTTACAGTCTAGTGGGGAAGACAGGCATTCAGCAAGTAATGAAAAGCTGTGAAAATTCAGTGAAGAAATGAGATGCTGTGACAGTTGTATGGTAAAGGGGCTATGGAGGATGATTATCTGAGTCAGTGGCATTAAAGCTGAGACCTAGGGCTTCCCTGGTGGCGCAGTGGTTGAGAGTCGGCCTGCCGATGCAGGGGACACGGGTTCGTGTCCCAGTCCGGGAAGATCCCACATGCCGCGGAGCGGCTGGGCCCGTGAGCCATGGCCATTCAGCCTGCACGTCCGGAGCCTGTGCTCCGCAACGGGAGAGGCCACAACAGTGAGAGGCCCGCGTACTGCAAAAAAAAAAAAAAAGCTGAGACCTAAGGGAATGGAAAAGACAGTGAGAAGCTCTTCAGGCAGCAGAAATGGTATTTGCAGAGGCTCTCAAGTTGGAAGGAATATGACATGCTTAAGGCACTGAAAGAAGGGAAACATGGCTACAGTGGAGGAGGTAGAGCGTGAGTGGTGAGATATAAGGCCAGAGAAGTAGGGAGAAAACAAAATTTATTAACTAAATAAATGTTTATTAACTGTACATTCTGTACCAAGCCCTGTGCTAAGTTCTGGGGATGCAGCATTAACAAACCAGGCAAAACTTCCTGTTCTAATGGAACTTACACTCTTTTGGGGGAGACAGACAATAGACAAGGTAAACAAGTAACATATGGATAAATAACATGATAATGTTAGATAGTGATATGTGTGAGGAGGGAGAAAAAAGTAAGGAAGGGACAAAGAGTAATATGAGAGGTTTTCATTGCAGAGGAAAATTGAAGTAAATTCCAAGCAGAGGTTAACAGAGCAAATGTTGAAGCAGTTTGCCTGGCATGTTTGAGAGCAGCAGAGGCTATAGTATAGTTGGAGTGGAGTGAGTGAGGGTGTCAGTAGTAGGAGATGAGGTCCAGGGGAGCGAGGACGTGTAGGGCCTTTGTCTTGGCTTTTACTCTGAGTGAGATAAGCCATTGGAGGGTTTTGAACAGAGAAGTGATATGATCTGTAAGGCTGCCATGTTTTACCATTTCATGGACTCACTGTTCGCACAGAATTCAATGTAGACTCATGCAGTGCTGTATTCCTGATCTGACGTATGCTTTAAAAGAATCACTGTTGGCTGTTGGGTGGGAAATGGACTGGAAGGGGAATTAAGATACACACAGAGGTAATTAGGAAGCTATTATCATAATTCAAATAAGAGATGATGGTGGCTTAAATCAGGGTGGAAACAGTGAGAAGTGATCAAATTCTGGATATATTGGATGGTAGAGTTGTAAGCATTTGCTTGCTGATTGAATATGAGGTGGGAAAGAGAGAAAAGGACTTTACCTGGAAGTGTGGAGTTGCCTTTAATTGAGATGGGGGGAGACTTCATGGGGAGCAGAAATTTAAAAGCTTGATTTTGGACATGTTAAATTTGAAATAGCTATTAGACCTTCAAGTAGAAATGCTGAGTAGGGCATTGGGTATACATGTCTAAAGAGAGAAGTGTGGGCTGTTTATATGCGGGAGTCATCACTATATGGATAGTATTTAAAGAAAAAAAATTTAAAGGACTGTGCGCACTGATCTGGAACCTCCTTTTACACATAACAGGCTTAAGGACCAAGTTGAGGATTTGGGAGTTTTATTCTAAGGATAGTACAAGCCATAAGAGGTTTAAACTAGAGACACCTATTTAGATTTGTTTGGCTGTGGTGGGGGAAAATGAATTACACAGGGGCAGAGGCAACTGATGGGTTCTACAGTAGTTTGGGTTAGAGTTACTGATGACTTGGACTGCGGCGGGGGGCGTGCAGTGGGGCTGGACTGTATTTTGGTTGTAACTGTTGTTCTGTCACAGACCATTCCAAACTTGGTAGCATAAAGTGTGATTATTCTTATTTTGTGGGCCAAGAATTCAGACAGGGTACAACAGAGATAGCTTATGTCTGCTTCACAATGTCTGCGGCCTCATCTTGTGAAGAATTGAAAGGATGAGGTGACTGAAAAGGCTGAAGGCTTCTTCACTCACATGTCTGCGCCTGAAGTGGGACAGCTCAAAGGCTGGGTTCAGTGAAGACTGTCAGAGTAGCTCCGCGTGACCTCTTCATGCGGCTTGGGCTGCTCCAGGCCTGGAGACTGGGTTCAGAGAGGAAGCATCTGTAGAGCAAGCATTCCCAAGACCAAGGCAGAACCACAAGTCATTTTCCCGTCACCTCTGCTGTGCTCCCCTGGTTACAAGCAAGTCAGTACAACCAGCCTAAATTGAAGGAGAGAGGAATTGGACTTCTCTTGCTGGGAGGAGATATCAAAGTCACATTGCAGAAAAGCATGTGGCATAAGAGATTTTGCAGCTGTCTTTGGAAAATAGCATCTTCCAGAGAGGAAATGACACAATTCAAGATGTATTTAAGAGGTGGACTTGTTAGGTCTTGGGGAATGATTGAATTAAGAGATGAAACAGGAATCAAATATTCATTCATTTATTCTACAAATATTTAAGAGCCTGTTAATTTGATTAGCACTCTTCTGAGATGATTCTGAGAACTTGAGTGGATGGTGGTGCCATTTACTGATTTCGAAAACACTGCAGAGAAAGAGAGACAGAAATGACTAAGTTCAATTTGGCGTATATTGAGTTTGAGGTGCCGGTGAGGGGGCACCCGAGTGGAGATTTCCAGGAGGCAGTTGAATATAATGCATCTAGAATATAGAAGGCAGAATTAGTAGAACAAATTTGAGAATTGTCAGCATAAGGTGAGAGAAAAAAAGAACTTAGAACTTCCCTGAGAAATAGCAATACTTAATGACAGGCTGGAGGAGACAAAGTTGACAAAGGTGACTGAAGAGGAACAGCCAGAGAGGAGAAAGAAAACCAGGGACGGTGGTATCAGATCTTAGGGATGAGAGTATTTTAAGGAGGGAGTGGTCCCTGTAAGTCATTCCATCACGAGGTCAGATAAGATCCTGATTAAAAGTTGTTGATTTTCAGGCAGAAGACCTAGATAGACATTTCTTCAAAGAAGAACTACAGATGGCCAGTGGGCACATGAAACGATGCTCATCATTGCTAATTATTAGAGAAATGCAGATCAAAACTAGAGGTACCACCTCACACCTGTCAGAATGGCCATCATTAAAAAGTCTACAGATAACAAATCCTGGAGAGGGTGTGGAGAAAAGGGAACCCTCTTACACTGTTGATGAGAATGTAAATTGGTGCAGTTACTATGGAAAACAGTATGGAGGTTCCTCAGGAAAAAAATAGAGTTGCCATATGATCCAGCAAGCCCACTCCTGGGCATATACCCAGACAAAACTAATTTGAAAAGTTACATGTACCCCTATTTCATAGCAGCACTATTTACAATAGCCAAGACATGGAAACTACCTAAATGTTGTCTATCAACAGATGAATGGACAAAGAAGATGTGGTGTGCGTGTGTGTGTATGTATGTGTGCGTGCACGCGCACACACACAAACACTGGAATGTTACTCAGCCATAAAAAAGAATGAAATAATGCCATTTGCAGCGATATGGATGGACCTAGATATTATCATAGTAAGTGAAGTAAGTCAGAAAGAGAAAGACTAATACTGTATGATATCACTTATTGGTGGAATCTAAAATATCACACAAATGAACATATCTACAAAACAGAAACAGACTCACAGACATAGAGGACAGACTTGTGGTTGCCAAGGGAGAGGGGCATGGGGGAGGGAAGGATTGGAAGTTTGGGACTAGCAGATACAAGCTATTATATATAGAATGGATAAACAAAAAGGTCCTACTGTATAACACAGGGAACTATATATTCAATGTCCTGTGATAAACTATAATGGAAAAGAATATGAAAAAGAATATACATATGTATAACTGAACCACTTTGCAGAAATTAACAACATTGTAAATCAACTATACTTCAGTAAAAGTGTTTTAAAAAGGTGTTCATTGTCTTTAACAATCTAGAGGTCATTTGGAGACTGTATGTCAAGGGCTCTTTTGAGTAGTGAGTGTGGAAGTCAGATTGGAATTGGTTCAGAAGTTAGGGGAAAGAGAATGTGTTTATATATATATAGGAGTTTGACTATAAAGGGAATTTTAAAAATCATAATGGAAGTAGCCAGCCTAGAGAGAGACATGGCTAAATCATAATATTATAGTTAATTATTTAATCATTTATTATATTAATAGTTATTATATAATTAGACAACATGTTGTAGGGGGAAAAAAAGCTCTCATTTGGGAGACTACAGATTTGAGTTTTAGTGTCTTCTCTTACCCTCCCAGTAGTTCCTGAGATGGTAGAGCCTTAGATAAGAGATAGGACATTGCCATTGAAATAGAAATAAAATAAAAATGATTAGGTCAGTGCAGGTGAGTTTGTGACTATGTATTTGGAAACTTAAGGTTGTTCATCATGGCTGTACTTAAGAAGGATCAAGTGAAGTGCATCTTTCATTCCTCTCAATTCTAGGGTCACATAAGCAATGTAATTCCTGTACCGTGCTATATTTTGCTTGACCTTTTACCATCCTTATCCCAAAGCCAGTTGACCCTTTTCATCTCACTCCTCTTCCTACACAGTAATATCAGTGTTGTTTGTAAATAATTTTCTGAGAAAGAAAATGTGGGAGATGGAATATGGGGGCTATTTTATTTCGTATGGATAATCTGAAAAAATATCCTTAGGATATACTTTAAGATATAACTGCATACATTGATGGAAGACAAAATGATGTAGTAAAAAATACCCTGGAGAGTAGATTTAATTCTGATTGTGCAAATTAGTTTTGTAACCTTAGGCAGATTGCTTCATGATGTATAAAATGAAGGGGCTTGTGTTGGATGGCTTTAATTGGCCCTTCTTGCTGTAAGATTCTACAGTTCCATAAGAACTCTTCCTGGGCAAAGTTTTGTTGACTAAAGAATAACCACTATATTGTCTACAGGATCCCGAAGTAGATGCTGAACTACTCTGCTGTTTTGTTTGTTGTTTCTGCTCTTCTTTTACTTATCAGTCACCCCCAAAATGAAGATATTTTTGTGGCTTTTATTTCAGGTGCCCTAATGCATGAGTTATCAAATGATGGTGCTCGTAGACAGTTCGAATTTTACCTGGAAGAAATGATTCTGCCTCTCATGGTAGCTAGTGCCCAGAGTGGAGAACGTGAATGCCACATAGTAGTGCTTACAGACGATGATGTGGTTGATTGGGACGAAGAGTATCCGCCACAGATGGGAGAAGAATATTCACAAAGTAAGTCCTGTGACATATTTTCTCTCTCAAATCATCACAGATTTTCTCTTTATCTTTTACAATATTGATCAAAGGACAGTTTTTATAAAGAAAGTATGTTGAACTCTTACTTATACCAGGAGTTGGCAAACTACAGCCTGTGGGCCAAATCCAGCCTTTTGCCTGTTTTTATAAACAAAGTTATATGTATTGTCTGTGGCTGCTTATGCGCTACAATGGCAGAGTGGAGTAGTTGGAATGAAGACCGCATGGCTAGCAAAGCCCAAAGTGTTTACTATCTGGCCCTTTACAGAAAAAGTGTACCCGCCCATGTCATGCACAGAAATGGTTTGCTTTTTGTTGAGTATCTGGATCTTAATGGTTTTTTTCTTTGCATTTAGAAGCATCCAAGAGAAGTAGATCCTGGAATAGTAGATAATAAAAAAATAAGTGTTTTTTTTTTTAGATGAATTTCTATGTGTATATAAAATGAGAAGCTTCAACTCAGTGATTGCAAAGATGACTTTAAGTTCTAAGACATTCCTTTTTTAATGTCATAAGTGTTCCTGGAGGATACAGTGGACCCTTCCGAAAAGCTTTGCGGAACTTTAGGTATTTCTGACCAAAACAGCACATCTTGAGCAGCAGTGACTAACTTTTTTCTTACTGTGCTTCCAAACTTTTTCTGATTAGAACCTTTTGATTTTTTTTTTTTCTGTTAGAAAATTTATCTCATATTGGTTTTGTTTTGTTTTTATGGTGAACCTGATCTAGTATTTTTGAACAACTTCATAGATTGAGAAAAAGTTAAAAGAATGATTCGAGGAGCTAGGTAAAATAGCCCAACGTCTTGTTCTGTCCTCCAGTCTGCGTTGACTCGGTAAGGATTAGGGTTTAAGTAAAAAGTACAGGATTATAGAAAGTACTGGAGCCCTATAAGCTCTGATTTTTCCATTTTACTTACCCTTTTCTAAAAATAAACCAGACTAAGTGGTATTCTTTTTTATTTTAATTCTAAAGATTTTCATTAGATTACGTTATCGTAGCGCTTTTCAGAATTTACATTGAGACATTTCCTTTGCATGATACACTTGAACGACTATCCTGACTCTTCTGTGGACAGTTAGAATAATAAAATGTTACTATTTCCTCATTCCTAGGCTCTTTGCTGACAATGGTTTTCTATAAAAATATGTGGAATAAAAAGTTGAACAAAGCACAGGAAAAATAAAAGGTTACCAAAAATCAGAAGAAATACACTAAATCATTTTCTGTGTAGAAAAAGGAATGAACAAACTTTTACTTTTCAAAAAGTTTGACTCCAAGAGAGTAGAGCCAGCTGTAGAGCACAGAAATGATATTATAGTGATACAGGAATAATAATAGACCGGGGCTTTTCCTTTTTAGTTATTGAGCTTTTCATTTCAATGTTTTTTGGTTTGTTTTTTGTTTCTTACCTTAAACATTGAAGCTTAAAAGGACTGGAAACATTTTTACTCAATTTGTCTATAAATATGTTTCATTTTGTGCCAAGATGTTCCAACGTAAAGAAGATAAATTTGAGTAGACAGAGATGAGATAGTCTCTTCAGCCTGATTTTCCTAAATGTGACATTATAACACCACCCATTCTGAGATGTCAAAAAATCTTTATCTTAATATAATATCAGTAGTCTTAAGGATGTAGTAATAATCACAGATTTACTCCATGAGTAGCTTCTGTATACGTTTTTTCCTTTTATTGGCTCTTAAACCAGCATGTTTGGTTTGTGAGTGTGTTTTTCTTTTTTTGAAAAAACCTTTGCAGTTCACCTTTTAAGGGAGATAACTCCACCTGAAAGAGAGAAGGCGAGGAAGGTCCATCAGTCTAACTCCCTGAAGTGCCCAGCACATTTGGAAGACTCAACATGTTGTCAGTGGAATGTCTGTCCTTTGCAAAGCCAGTTTGCTCTAAACAGACTAACCTAGGCAGAACATGCTCGAATCTGCCATTTTTAACATCAATATTAAATGGGACTGTTCGCCTGAATGGAAAACAGTTTGTGGGGTGGGCCTTTGTTTTGGGGGAGTTATTAATAGTTGCTCAATCCATGAAATGCAAGATGTATCCATTTTGTACTTTCTGACAAGGCAGTTTTTTCCCCTCCAGATGAGGCCTTGTAGGCATCAGAGCAAAGTCCTTTACTTTGCCTGCTTGATAATCATGTGATATTGATACCTTTTTTTTGGTTCTCTTTATTTGAAGAAATTGGGGCAGATCCCATTCCAATAAGTTTGTATATGATATATCTTTCAGAAGGAGATTCTTCCTATGGATTGGGTTATCTGATTGGTTATTAAAGCTTTTCTTGTTTCAACTTATGTAGACATTTGCTTATGTATTAACTGTACTGAATTGTCCTGTCATGTTGGCTAGTCATCCTTTGGCATCACTGCATCCATTATTTGGGCTTTTAGGGTTGTCAGGCCCCTTTGATGATCAAGATAAACTTGAGTCATCTCCAAGTACTTTGATTTTAATAAGAAAATACTTTTGTCTCTTTGTTTCCAGTTATTTATAGCACAAAATTATATAGATTTTTCAAGTACATTGAAAACAGAGATGTGGCCAAATCAGTTTTGAAGGAGAGGGGTCTTAAGAAGATTAGATTGGGAATAGAAGGTAAGACATTTTCACTATTTTCTATTAATTTTCTTTTGAAAAAAGCAAGGTTAAACAACTGGATCCCATTGAGAATATAGTTTGAATATTTTGAGAAAAATTCAGACAGATGATTACTGAATGCTCATGCAGTAGACATATAAATAACAAAAATCAGCTTCCTTTATCTGAGATGATAAATAGAAGGCCATTAGAAATTATTATTCATTCCATAAGATCCCTAGCAATATAGAGATATGAATTTGTCTTTTCTGCCGTCGCCCGACTTAATGCATTTTTGACTAAGCCCACGTAGTGTGTTTGGTACGCATGTGTGTATATTCCCGTAAGACTGACAGCAGGACTCTGCCTAGTAGTGATCGTGATCAAAGCTCAACAGAATTAAAATCTAGTACTTTCTGAAAATTCATGTAAAAACAGTGCTAGTAGCTTACTAGTGTCTTAAAGTATAATAGCTTATTTTCACATTAAATTGAATTGCAAATGTACTTCATCTTACTTAAATGCATACTTTTTAGGTTGCTTTTTACTTTATGATTTAAATGAATTTTTGTCAGATGCTTCTTTAAAGTGTCCTTACGAAAAACAAAGTATCTTCTTTGGCATACCATAGTAAAGGGTAAAGACTGCTTGTGTTCAGAGCCTATGATTTAATAGCTGTATGACCTTGGCCAAGGCACTTTACTTCTCTTTGCCTTTGTTTCCTCATCTAAAATGGGAGCATTAATAAGTACTTTATAGGGTTATTGTGAGGACAGAATGAGTTAAAATAGGGCCTAGCACATAGTGATTTCTGTGTTTGTGATGGTGATAACGAAGATTGTGGTGTTCAGATCAATGACCAGATAAGCTTCTGGAGATCGCTGTAATGGGCTGCTGAGACATATAGGGAAGAATGACCAGAAACAGGGTCTTTGCAGGAAGGGGAGGAAACTTTGGGCTTAAAAAAGAGGACACATTAGCTTCACCAGTATGTCCCCTCTTCTGTCATTTTGCAAACGATGGGATTTAGCTGTTTCCTTTCAGAGCTAAAGAGAAGGTAACTGAAGGGAGCTACTTTAGATGAGTGGGCAGGGGAGCATTTATTTGATCTGAAGCCTGATGACAAGTGGGTTGGAACTAGATTGTAAAAAATAAAGCCTTATATACTGTGCTAAGGAGGATGGACCTTCCTCTTTAAGCATGAGGGCATCATTGGTAGCTTTAAAGCAAGGATGTAATATGATTACACTTGTGTTAGAGTGGTGATTCTGTGTGGAGGGCAGAGTGGAATACACTGAGATGGGAATTTTAAAGACTTTTAATAGTCCAAAAGCAATCAAGGACAAGGGAATAATAGAGGGTAGAAACCTTTCTGATCTCTACTGCTGCCCTTCAGCTGGTAATTGAGTGGAGTATGAAACGAAGAAAACATTCTACAGACGGTCCTTAGAAGGTATTTAGTCCTTGCCCCTGTTCCACCTCACCTCAACCACATACACATGCCACACGTGGCTAAATATACTAGCTACCTACGATGCCTATATAACATCCTCCTATGCAAGAATCCTTAATTGAGTCCCTACTATGTGAGGCCTTTGTATTTTTTTCTGATTCTAACTGTGGTCTAACTATGGCCTATGGGCCAAATCCAGCCCATTACCTGTTTTTTATAAATCAAGTTTTATTGGAACATAGACATGCTCATTAATTTACGTATTGTCTGTGGCTGATTTCACTTTACAACGGCGTAGTTGAGTGGGTGTGATAGAGACCATATGGCCTACAAGCCTGAAATATTTACCGTCTGGCCCTTTACAGAAAATGTTCGCCAGTACTTGGTCTAAACTAGCAATTCATGCTAGTGGGAAGGAGAGAAGGAACTTTTGATAGCATCTAAGGAAAGTATGTCTTCAGAGAAATTGCCTTACTGGTAAATGACTGATGGTTGTTACCAGTTGTTACTCTTCAGTGATTATGATCTAAGATGAAGATATAATTAATTAGGGAAAGCTGCGTCGACTGAAAAAAATGCACAACCTAAATGTTCAGAATTATGTTTTATTCGGTGGCCTTACTGAGGACTATAGCCTGTGATACAGCCTCTCAGACAGCTCTGAGAAACTGTTCCAAAGAGATAAGGGAGGAGCCAGGATATATAGGAGTTTTTGCTGGGGGAAAAAAAAAATCAAAAGATTACTGCTCATCACAAAAAACAGACATCTCAAGTTAATGATTTTAGCACCTCTCTATGTTTGGGGAGATGCAGGAGTCTAGGCTTGTTGCAGTTATTCCTTCGATATGCATCTTAACTGTCTAGGGCCAGTATCCTGTTTTTCTCCATCCTGAATTCCCCTCAGGAGCATCCTTGGGTGGGGGTGGCTGCAGTGGCTGATGGCTCGATGGCCGCAACATCCTTGTTTACTGACATGGCAGGCAACTTTTTTTTTTGTCCACAGCTGCTTTGGCCATTGGCAGTTTGTCCATTGCCAATCTAAATGAACTGCCTGGTTGTTGAGAGTAGTAACATTTAAATGATATAGGGGTTAAAATATTGGCTTTGCTGACCTAGGTGCAGAAGTACCTGGAATTAGTGAAGCTGGAGAGTACTACGGCTCCTTGTCACTTAACAGTAAAAAGGAAAGAAAAACCCAGAAAAATATGCAGATGAGATTTATGTTTAAAGAAAGTAGAAGGCTACGGGGACTTCCCTGGTGGCGCAGTGGTTGAGAGTCCGCCTGCCAATGCAGGGGACACGGGTTCGTGCCCCGGTCCGGGAAGATCCCACATGCCGCAGAGCGGCTGGGCCCGTGAGCCATGGCCACTGAGCCTGCGCGTCCGGAGCCTGTGCTCCGCAACGGGAGAGGCCACAACAGTGAGAGGCCCGTGTACCACCAAAAAAAAAAAAAAAAAGAAAGAAAGAAAGAAAGTAGAAGGCTAATACTGCAGTAAGTTTCAGACCTTGAGGCCAGATAATCCTGTGAAGGGAAGGGTTCAGGGATATTAAGGATATACAACTAGAGCCCATGATGCAGTAGATTACATACCATTGTATTAGGGACCCAGCCCCTCCATGCTTTCCGAATGTTATTCTGGTGGTTGGTGGATGGTTTTGTGAATTACATCAGTAGGATTTCAGTTTCTTGCTGTTGAACTAATGACCAAGGGGATAGAATATTGAATTCCCTTCTTTGTTTTAATTTGTTCAAGAACTACAGTAACCCTCTTTAGGTTAAATTGGGTGAGGAATGTGGGGACCCGTGTGGGTGTGCATACATGTTTGTGTGCGTATCCTCAGGTTTTAAAACCTCCCTCTCCTTCAGGTTATCCAACCTACAAAGAAAAAGTAAAGAAAAGGCCTGGGGGCCGCCCAGAAGTGATTTACAACTATGTCCAAAGGCCCTTTATTCGAATGTCTTGGGAGAAGGAAGAAGGAAAGAGTCGGCATGTGGACTTTCAGTGTGTAAAGAGTAAATCTATCACCAACCTTGCAGCAGCTGCCGCAGACATTCCCCAGGACCAGCTGGTGGTCATGCACCCAACTCCTCAAGTGGATGAGCTGGATATTCTCCCTATCCATCCCCCTTCTAGCAACAATGACCTCGATCCTGACGCACAGAATCCGATGCTGTGATGGTGATGTTTGTTGCTTGAAACCATAGCATGCTACTCTTCGCAGTGACGCTGCACTCTCCTCATCCTGCACTGCAAGGCCACTCTCTGCATTGTGAGATGCACAGATGTTTAGGATATTGCAGTGTAGACGTTTTTTAAAGACCAAAGGTAGCTGAATGGTTTTTTAAATGAGTACAACTCTAGCATCTTGAGGTTCCAGTTATATAAATGTATTTGTTTACCGGTAGGTTTGTGGAATTGGTTCTTTGTATGGGGGACAGTCCTTTTTCACACATCTAGATCTTTTCAGAAGTGGCAGAAATTGGCAGCTGGGGTACTTTCAGTCTATGTTGATATTCATCACACCCCAGATAAAATGTAGAATATTACATAGTTGCACTTTATATATGGTGGTTAAGTGGAACTGTTCAAGCCATTTTTATAGTTGTGATGCACAATATAATTTAAATAAGTGCTTCTATCAAAGTATTCTTTCAGTGAAATGTGTATAGTTTGCTGCCCATGATTTTTTTGCCCATGAGCAAAAAAATAAGTATCATTGGGCTTATTTGAATGATTAGGATGAGATTCAATGCCCATATCTTATCAGTTATCTCCAGTGCCGTTTTCATCCTTTTCAAGTGAGTCACATGCAGGGAGTGTGAACATCAGGTGGTTTATTATCCAGTCTGCCTTACCCTTAATCTGTTCACAGATATTTATTTACTAATGATTTTTTTTGAGTTATGGGATAGGAAGATGAAGTGTTTGCTCTTCATTTACTAAATGATTGTAAACTCGTTTTTCATCAAAATAAAATTCCATTGTTTTAATGTTTCTGATCTTTATAACCACCTTGACCATATTTTCCATCTCATAATTAGCAGATATCCTGTCTTGTTGGTGTCAGTATAACTAGAAACCAGGTAGCTCAAGGAACTCCAGTTTGGTATATGTGTGATGAGGTGCTTATATTCCCCGCTAATTATAAAATAAACTATAAATCCAAAACATTGTTAGAGCTGAAAAGGGAATATTTTCATTTTCTAGCCCAACCTGATATGAAGGATGAAATACCTTTACTAGGTCCTACAGTAACCTTAAGTTTCAGAGCCAAATTCTGACACCGGTTCAGTGTTTTCTCCATTATACTGTGATGTTTTCTGCCTAGCAAATTTTTCACGAAAGTGTTTTCGGTTTTGTTTTAATATTCTGTGGCCCAATTCATGAAGAAATCGGAAGTATTTAGGTGCTTTGGGTCCAGGGTCACTTACGGTTTGAAGCCATACAGCTGTGAGTAGTAGAGGAGTTGTACAGTAGAGAAGCCAGAGTCTGATCTATCTAATCCTGATTTTGTAAAATTTTAGGATTTGCAGCTTGTGTTTAAGCAGTAACATCTTTCTTTGCTCTCACAGAAACATTACAGTATAGCAAAAATACAGTACAGCTAAACTAGTAACACAGGGAAATTATGTATGCCCTAGAATTGTTATGAAGGCCAGAAAAGCATTGTAAATGCTTTTGGTGTGGCTCACCCTTAAACAAACAAACACCCACCATGGAAAATTGATGATCCAGCCCTGTGGCATTTTTTTCCCTGTAGGCTTTTTCTAATTATTTGAAATGTGAACAATATAGAACAAGGGAAACATTTATTAAAAATATTTAACTAATACATTATACTTTAACCCATATTTATAGTAAAGGATTCTTACAAGGAAGAATAAACGGTTTTATGATACAATTAGTATAAGAAATATCCACATGGGGAACTTCTTTGTAGTGTAAAAACACCATACATCTGAAATGACCATCTGCATATAAAAGCTACCAATGATGCTTCTGTGCACAATGATTGATTGATTGATTAAAAAATTCAACACAAACAGAATCCAAAATATACAATTAATGCAAGCTATCCACAGCTAGCCCAATAATCATCAATGATGAGGAAACACTGGAGCAGGCTTAGTTCCACTTTGTCTGAAGTTACACATAGTAAGATATTGACTTGTATCAATGGCTCTGAGATGGCTTTTATGAAGACAGGACATAAAAGCTGTTCTCTCCTTATCCGGTAAGCTTCACAGACTGTATAACTCCATCAGTAATGCACTTTGATACTGTAGCTGTCGCCAAAGCAACATGTAGTGTCTACAGCGGCCATGGTAAGTCGCTAAAGTCAACAGGACCACCGAGCCCAGCATCTGCTTCCAAGAGGCTCATTATGACAGCCATTGCTGCTTCATCATTACTGGGACTGCTTGAGCCTTGATCATTGTCTATCATATCTATGCCTATGTGAGGGTTCTCACCTGTGCAAAGAGATGAAGACTGGTCAGTGATAATACCAAAGCATGTTTAACTTTAGTAAGCGGTTCCCAAACACACTTTTAATAAGAACATTATACCTAACAGTAGGGTGAGAAGGATGAGAGAGGCTCCTTTTTTTTATGGGGAGGTTGCCATATTTCTTTTTAACGTTGGTGTTTTTCAGATGGAAGACCCAACTTTTTAAGAAGAAAGTACTTAAAATTCAATGAAGAGTATCACGTATGAGTTGACCTCATTTTAATATTCTGATATAACCAGTTAAAAGGAGAGAATTATTACAGAAGGAACAAAATAGGAAGAGATTAGGGGAAAAAAGACATAGAAAGCTAAGTAGAGAAAAAGATGAGTGGGGTGGGAGAAGCAAACTCTTCATTGGCTTAATGACTTTTAATACCCTCTGAAATGCTTACTGATGACCCTTTTAGGCTTTATCTGAACCTGCACGGCTCTCCCTCCGAAGAGATTATGTTCCACACATTGGGAGAAAGCCCGTGTCCAGGCCGCTGTAGCCTCTTGAGTTCCAGGGACAAACATGGACCCCAGCGAGAACGCAACCATTAAACTCAACTTTGAAGTAAAGATTTAAACAAATTTATTTAAACCTTTCCTTTGTTCTTATCAAGTTTACCTAGAACTGGTTTGTTTTTCCAGTTCAGTTCTTAAAACTGACTTTATGCCATGTTTTTTTTGCAAGCTCTTTGCATTGGAAATGAATAATAATGCTACTTACCAAGAATAGAAGAGCTATCAGAATATGGATAACCTGGGTTCTCCTGAGCCTGCCCTGGTAGTAGGCCACTGGAAGGAATGTCTGGAGTCCCTCCATTTAAAATCTACAAACAAAAGGAAAGTTTTCACATCATCAGCAGTTTCAATCAGTATTTTATGCAGTGTCACCAAGAAAATGAAGCATGTTGAAAAGAGGAAGGTGGGGAGAAAAAGCTTCAAATGGCTTCAGTTTCTTATCGGATGATTTCACATCAGAGACTTAGGAATGGTCACAGTAAGGAAAAAACCTCTCCCCCAAACTATTCTTCTCTATTGGATTCAGCCCACACAGGCAATTTAAAGGCTGAATAAGATCCCTAGAGCATTCACATGTTTAAGGCCAAGGACTAAACCTCAGGGAGCCCAGCTGGGCAGGTCCCCTGTAAGGGAGGAAAACTTCTTAACAGCAACGAAACAAAGGGCTGTTACACTGTGAAGAGACACAGCTCTGAGGAGTCGCAAATGAACAACAAAACACTAGAATAAATCATCACTATAGTTATACCACAGATGCCAACATTAGTAACCACTGGTTTAAGTTCTTAAGAGAGGCTACTGAGAAGTATTATTACCACTCCCCAGTAGCAGAACTCTGTCTCCCCCAACTCCCCACCCCCCACCCCCCCATGACTTGAGTCTCATAGAAAAGCACCTTTGAGAAGTATTTGGATGTAGGTGTGGAAACAGTTTGGTAGAAGCTGGGATTTCAGGAGAGGCAGTGATTTCAGGCCTTGCCAGTAGATGGCATTACAACCTCATCTCCGCAATTCAACTTTCTGAAGAGACTCAAAAAGACTTTACACTCTAAAAATTATTGAGGACTCCAAAGAACTTTTGTTTATACAGGCTATATTTATCAATACTTACTATATGTGAAGTTAAAGCTAATACATTAAAAAATATATAATAAAACTATTACACATTAACATGAATAGCATTTTAATGAAAAAACTATTTTCAAAAATAACAAAAAGTTAGAAGTGTCATTTTACATTTTTTGCAAATCGAATGTCTGGCTTAACAGAATTTAACTGGATTCTCATTTGCTTCTCCATTCAGTCTGTATAGGTATGCTGTTTGAAATACATATCTGAAGGAACTCTGGCCTCTCATAGATAGATAGGCAGTTGGAAAATGGAGGTATATTTTAATAGCCTTTTCAAATAATCATGGTATTCTTTGATATTACATCAAAACTCAGCAAGTGGAAGTTTCTTAAAGATTAGTTGCAGTGTGGAGTTTGAAACCATATCAATGAAAGTTTGATACTCTGTTATGTTGAAATCCATTGGTATATCTTGGCAATTAGGATGGATCTGTTTTACCTTTGCACGATTTTGAAATATCTTACATCAGTCATTTGGAAAATACTGGTTCACTGAGTTACGTGGATCTTCCAAATGTGGACACACTTCATTGTACAACATCAAAACATCACCACTGTTAATATTACCTACATCAGAAATATCTTAAGTTTTGGGAAGCAGTCAAGCTCAAAGTAGCAGACACAAGTTTTCCCCAAAATTCTAATTTTTGCTTGAAAGCTAAAATTTTATCACTGTCAGTTGTTTTCTTTGAAGTCGCAGGTTCATTCATTTTCAAGAAAATGTACACTAAATACCCAAGTCTGGAAAACCATAGTTTGCGACAGTAAAAATGGTTTCCTATGAAAAAGGTGATTGGGTTCGGTTTATAACAAACAGTCACACAAGTGCTTTTCCTTGAGACAACCATCATACTTTGTGTGCAGCACAAGTGCTTTATGCACACTTCCCATTTTGTAACAGTTTTAAAAAGATTTACTCAAGGATTTTATAAAATTATTTTACTGCTTTATAATAAGGACATTCTTAAATGAAGCTGGCTTTTAAATTTATTATTTTACTGTGAGTATATGGTGGTGAAATACACTGTCAGTACATTCTGGTGCCACAGGCTTGATTTTTGTAAAAGCACCAGCAGTCTTACCCAACATTGCTTTTTCACTATCAGTTCACATATCAACACAGTGAGAAAAAACTGTTTAGCATTATTATGAAAATACATTTGACCATGCAGACCCCTGAAAAGATGCCCTCTCCCTAACCCCACCAAAAGACCACAGATGACGTTTAGGGAACTGCTGCTTTATCTCACCCTGCCTTGGTACTTCTGGATGTCCAGAGTCTCCCGGAACCTATGAGGCTAAGCCTCCTCTTTTTATTATATTTAGCTTGACCCTAATTAAAACAACTGGCAGGCTAAATGGCTCATTTTTGGACCTGCCAATTTTGAAAGTGACTGGGAAGGGTTGGAAGCCTGCGGCCACCTTTACTTTTGTGGCTTTGGTACACTATTTAATGCTGTCATTTTTAACTCCATCTTGTTTAGATGCCTTTCTTATAAGGTCCTGCTGCTCATGACTCAGAATACATTCAGAATTTCTTCTCAGACCCACTTTTATAAGCCCAAAGAAAACATTCTCCACAAATGCCTCAAAAATACTTGGGGCTTTGTGATGCAGAGTATACTTTTAGATCTCTGGCATTTGTTGGTGTGAAAACAATCAGAAGTCAAGAGACCTGAATTTAGTGTGGGGCCATACTTACTGAATTCTGGGCTAGTCATGTAACATTTGGTAGCCTGGATTTTGTCACCTATGAGGTTGTGAGGATAAGATGAGAGATTGTATATGAAAGTTCCCTGAGTAATATTTAAGCACTGAACTGGAGGGGTGACCTTCCAAAATAGAGTAGTGGGATTCTTGGTACCAGGAAATCAAGTGCCTAAAAGTTGAACTGAGACACAAAGAAGAGGATACCATGCTAAGGAGATGGTGGATCCAGTATGAAGGAAGGACCTAGCGGTGTAACAGAACAGAGCTAAGAGCTCAGCCTGCGAGCAGGGGGGAGGGGTGTGCCCAGCCCAGACTTCATCTGTCAGTACTATCTTCTGAGTCATTACCGAAGGCCAGGCACTTTCACATATATACTTTCATAATAGGACTTCATGTGCAAAGATGCTGGCTGCCGTAACCCATGTTAGCCGCATTATAGAGAAATCTAAGGCTTAAGAAATTGTATAGGGCCACATAGCCAGCACATGGCAAGGCTAGGCTTCAAACCCAGACCCATTAATTTATTGGCTTTCAAACCTTTTGGGGGGAAGCAAAACCTTTTTTCAAATAAACACTTTTACAGAAGAGTCATGTGTCAGAAGTAAAGCTTCCCTGGAAGCAGCAGCAGGAGTCTTCCTACCTTGTCTTCCTCATCACCTGCCCCTCGCCCCAATCCTACCTGGCAGCACCACAGCTCCTGGTAACCTGAGTCTCTGAGGAGCCCAGTTTTGGAAACCCATGTCCTGCTTTTGATACAGTTTGTGCCCTATGTAAATTACTAATATTCTTTCTCTGTGTACATGTCTTGGGAGATAGGGGAAGGAAGACTGTGTCTCAAGATGCTGGGGCCTTTGCAGCATCCTAACCTATGTTAACATCAGACACTATAGATGTATGATTTACAATTAACATTGGCCTAGGCTTGTAAATTCTCTCATCAGCACTAAAGGTGAAAACAGATTATTGGTTTCTAAGACTATAATATAGTCTTCTGGCCAGTTCTTCATGAGGGCTGGCGACTGATAAACTACTTGTACTCAATGCTGTCCCATCGTAGGAAACCCAGGCAGATACCTAAGTATCCTGCAACTGCAAAGGCGTGACTTGCCTTCCGAAGGACTGCTGGTGGTATCGCTGTTTCCAGGACCTGCACTAGACACTAACGATATTTTCTCCCTTGAAAACTCCCGGCAGAGAACTAGATAGTTCTAGGTACTCACTAACCCTTCCCTCGCGGGAGCTCTTGAATTCCTCCCTCCATACAATGGCTGATAGCTCCCCAATCCTTAGAAAGATCTCTTTCTGCCTTCCCCCACTCACATGGGATAAATCCTCTAACAATGTCAGCAAGGCTCCCTAGCTCCACTGGTATGCTTTGTACCTCACCTAACACAGATGCATTTACTTCAAGGAGGAAAAAAGGGCCCTACCTGTTTCAGCAACCACAATTATATACTCCCACTTCCAGTATTTCAGAACTTGGGCAAGAGCTCTCTGGATGAAGAAGGGCCTTAGTCTAAGAGTCATCAGCCCTACCTTCTTGCCTCCTGGAGAAGAGGCATCAGGGGGAGGTGTACTTGTGATGTTCAATGGGCTGGAGCCACAGCTGGAAGGCGATGACCCTCTTATCCTGTCAGAGAAAAGAGGAGTTAGTTACATTGCCTTTCCTTTTTTCACTGGAGTGTGTGTGTTTTGTTGAGGGATGGGGGTGAGAAGGATGAAGATCTAGAATAGGGATTGGCAAACTTTCTGTAAAGGGCCAGAGAGTGATTATTTTAGGCTCTGTAGGCCATATGGTCTCTCACAACTACTGAACTCTGCCACTGTAGCCCGAAAGCAGCCATAGATGACAATGCAAGTGAATGGATATAGCTGTGTTCCAATAAAACTTTATTTATAGGTGATAAGCTGGATTTATCCCATAGGCACCTGATCTAGAACACAGATCCTGGAGGCAAGCTTCTCACTGACAAAGCCCTTGGATTAGGGTTTGGATTTCAGGTTTGTGAATTTCAAGTAGGTGGCCAGTTTCATTTGCTCACAGAATCCAGATCTCAGAGTTGGTGGCATTCTATCTTTGACACAGTGAACTAGAATCCACAGCAAATGACTTATTCTCTACCCTACAAACACTGCTTAGCTAGCGACTACTCAGGAAATGGAGGGTGCTGCAGTGGTTTCAGCCCCACCTAGAAAGTGGCCTCGCAGGAGCGGTCGCCATCGTCATCTTCTAAGGCAACAGGTGATGAAAAATGGGTCCAAGCCCTCCTCAGCTAGCTTATTTCTCAGCATAGTAGGTTTACAGAGGGAAAGACTTAGAGCTGTAAATCCACATAAACTCTTGTCAAGCTGAAGGACCTCAGCAAAGGAAGCCATGACCTGGCACCGCAGCTAGAGTTTAGGGAAACTTGGATGCCAGCTGCGTGACCACCAGGCTCTTAGCACCTACATGGATGATTGCAGCTTCTGGGTCTCCCAGGGACCCCTCCACTGCCCAGCAGTCTTGGCTCTTGGCCTGTACTGCCTGATTCTGTAATTTGTGAGTAAACAAGCTCTCTCTCTCTCTCTCTCTCCTGGATCATAAGCTTCTGAAAGGCGGGATACAACTATATACCAGGTGTTCTTCACCCACACAGATGACTACTAATTGCTTACTGAAAAATCGTTGAATGTCTCCCATTTTTCCCTACCTACATCTATGGAACCACTGTTTCCCCAGCTTCCCTATCTTAGAATTGCCTTTTCGTAGTTACTTATTTCATTTGCGATATCTAGTCCTTAAATTCCTGATTTCTCTTTTGGACACTACTATCACTGTAAGGTCGGCCTCATTCCTGGTTTGTTAAGCATGCTTACCTTCACCTCTTCCTATTCCAATCCAACTTCCACGATGCTTATTTTTTGTTTTTGTTTTGGGGGGTTTTTTTTTTTTTTGGCTGTGCCCCGCGGCATGTGGCATCTTAGTTCCCCACCCAGCGATCGAACCCACACCCCCTGCACTGGAAGCGCGGAGTCATCACCATTGGACCGCCAAGGAAGTTCCCAGCTTCCACGACGCTTATTAACACACCACTTTGGACACCTGCTCAGCATCCTACAATGCACAGGGTCTTCCAATTTTCGTCCAGTCTCAACTGTTCAACATCACTTCTTAGAACTCTTAGCAATCTCCCATCACAGCTCTGTGGCTCCTTTCTACAAAGAGGCTGCCGAGGTAGATGGCCTGCTTTTTGTGTCCTGAATACACCACTCACATGGCCATTCCAGCGTGTGCCTGTCTTTTCTAGAAGGAACACCCACATTCATCATAAAACCCAGCTAAGGCCAAGTTCAAGCCGTCCTCCCTTGCTTGCTTCAGCCCATGCACTCTCCTTTTTTTCTTTTATCATAAAGAAAATAGGCGTCGCAAAGATTGTAAGACCTTTGCGTTCAAGGACTGTTTTATACTGTCCTTGGATGGTCTCGAGCAAAGCACAAGGTATGCCGGGGCTGATCAGCACCAGATTATCAGTGCACACTGCACCCACACCTCCCTTCCTGGAGTAGCTTCAAACAGCCACATCCGTCATCCCTGAAGGGCTGGAACAGAACTGTGCTGTTCTGTTATCCCACTGGGATAAGAGCCCCACTGTGGCCAATTAGAAAACAAGGCCGGCCTCCAATTCTCCTGAGAGAATCAATCCAGTGGCAGCAGGGATCCTATGATTATGTTCCATTAAGTTTGTATGCCTAAGGACCTGGTTACCACCCTCTCCATTGCCCAAATTCAAATGGACTTATAATTACTGCTTCCCTCTCAATGACTGTTCTTAAAGACTAAATTAACAGTTTTTGAACACTGGCTACATGTCAGTTCGAGGAACTTTCCCGAGTTCTCTCACAATCCTAGGGCAATTTCGGGGAGATATTGCCTCCCTTTTATGGCTTAAGTCAACAGAGTCCAATAAGTTAAATGAATCTCCTAAGCAGAGGCCTAGGACTCAACCCAGATAAAGTGCTTCAGAGCTTCTCTTTCATATGGAAAAGGAGTTCCGCCCAAGGGAGCTTCTATTACTAGCTGATTTGCTTGGTCTCTATTACCAACCCTAGGCAGCTTTTTGACTGGAAGAAGCTAATGTTTTGTTAAGGCCCAGATCAAGGCGGTTCACGGCTCTGCTCCTGCAGTCCTGTAACGTTAGTGTTCATCTACCCACTGGGAAGCTCCTTGGGTCATATACAAAGTAATAAGAAAGTTGAGCCTCCCAGAGTTCCATTTAGCTCTGGCCTGTTTGGGTTTAGCTTCCTTATTTAAAGGCAGGATTTCTCAGTCTTGACACTACTGACATTTTGGACTGAATAATTCTTCCTTAGGGGTCAGCGCTTGGGAGGGCTGTCCTGTGACTGTAGAATGTTTAGCAAGCAGCATCCCTGGTCTCTATCCACTGGATGTTTAGCAACAACCTCCCACTCAGTTGTGACAACCAAAAATGTCTCCAGACATCAACAAAACATCATTTGGGGGGCAAAGTGCCCTGGGGTTGAGAACACTGGTTTAAGGGGACAACTAGGTGTTACTTGCCTGTGGATTTCCATGATTTCCTCAGCAATCATTCGACCTATTTTTCCTGCCCCAGCCCTGGTTCCCCCTGGAATCCCTGGAACAGTGGGGTGGGTCCTCTTTGGGCCACCTACAACAGAGGAATCTGAGAGTGGGAAAGGGGAAGAAAGCCGAGGGAGAAATGCTATTATGTGTTAAATTAAATCCACTTCATCCCATGATCCACTTGAAGTTCAAGCTTAGGGTTGTGCCCTGAGGGACATGAGAGCCACAGCTTGTCAGGAAAAGGCATTCCAGCAGGGAAAAGCTCAAGTTTCCTTCCAGGATCAGAGATGTTGATATTAAAGCTTCTAATTCCTCATGCACTCAACATACGGCTGGCCGAAAGCCACTGGGCTGCACGCCAGAGTCACAGAAATAAGTCGGCATCCCTGCCCTCAAGGAGCTCACAGTCTAATAGGGAGACACACAAGATAAACAATGGCTGGAACAAACTGCGATAAGTTTTACAGGTCAGCAAGAAGCACCCAACTCATGCAGGGCCAGGTGCAACCTCCTGGAAGAAATTACCTCTGAGCTCAGTCTTGAGAGAGGAGCATAAAGTAGGTTGGCAGAGAGGTAAGGAGGGGAAAGCATTCCAGGCACGGCAACCAGTGTACGCAAGAGCACTGAGGCAGGACACAACTTGGGAGACTACGCCAAGAAACTCATTACAAATGAGGATGGAGGAGTGACCGATGAAACTGAGAGGCAGGTACCAGTCAGACCATGAAGGGCCTTGGATGCCACACTAACAGATTTGAACAGTATCCACAGGGGACAAGGAGCACCGAAGTGCTTGACACAGAAACACACAAGTTCACCGTGTGGAGAATGAACCGCAGTGGAGGACGCGGGCACAGAGGAGGGCAGGGAGACTACAGTTGGGCAGTTATCTGCAGGAAGCCAAGCAACAGACAGGGAGGGTGAGGTAGCAACAGTGGGGTTAGGGAGCTTTAAAGAGAAGGGACAGGAGTGTGTGTTTTGATATAATGGGAAAGGTAGGAGTCACGGTTTCTGGCTTAACCGACCAGACTGTGGGTGAGGGTGTGTGCAGAGAACCGATCTGGATGTGCTGAGTTATAGGTGCCTGTGGGACTCCAGGTGGCTTCGCCCAGGAGGCCGCTGGGAAGGCAGATCTGGAGCTCAGGAGTGAAACCGGATGTAGGATTCATCGATGCAGAGGCAGGGGCTGAAGCCATGCAAGCAGAGGCCTGAGGAAGCAGGAGTCAGGTGCGGAGAGGAGCGGCCAAGGCCAAGCCGGGGAGGGCCCCGCCGGGTACAGCACACCCCGGTGCTGACAGACACCCTCCTCCCACCACGGGATCCCGGCGGCCATCCCCGAGAGCACGTCACACCGCAGCCACTGGGAAGCCAGCGGGAGGGGAGCACAGGCAGCAGGAGCTGCCCTGTCAAGGCCTCCAGGGCCCAGGCAGCCTCAGCAAATGTACAAACAGGTTCCCGGCATTCCAGGCTCAACAGAGAAAGTAAGATGACAGCGTCCTTAGTGATCATCCCCGCGAGGCCTCCCTTGTTCCACAGAAGATGGTGGCCGGGGACCCCAAACACCGGGGGCTCGGGGATGGGGGCCACGAGCAGCTTCTCAGGGGCAAGCCCGGACGTCCCGGCGGCACATAGTTACCTTCTCCAGAGGGCAGCGTGCTGTCCATGCTGCGGGGGGATGCTGTGGGCTGAGGGAAGCTTGGGTCCCCGCCTTCCAGGACATTGGCTCTGTGAACATCCCAGCAACAAGGAAACGTGAGTCAGGCCTGCTCAGAGCTGTGCACCTTTCACCTTGGCCAAGGTGTACGGTGTCCACTCTGGACCTGGACAGGCCACGAAATGAAGTGTCTGAGCGGCTCACAGGTCTCCTCACTGTCTGAGGACACGATGGACAGCACCCCGGCCTCTGGCCTCCCTGCCTGCCTGGCCTGCCCGGTGCAGGTGGGGCGCAGTCCAGCGAAGGTGGCGACTGAAGCAGCCCACTGCCGGCCCCAGCCCCTCGATCGGCTCCGCCTACAGGTGGGGGGTTTGGACCTCATGGGGAAGGAGATGTGGGGAGCAGGCCATAGAGGAGGGCCTTCCCTTCTCTGCTCACCCAGCAGGTGGCAGCCTTTGAGGGGGCATTCCAGCTGCCGGGGCTCAGGCCGCCAGCCTGGTGGGCGCAGATCCTCGCCCCTCCTCAGCCAAAGCCACTATGGACTGGTGAGCCTCTCAAGGATTACCAAGCCTTCCCTCCATAGTGATACCAGTGGATGCCAGGCCTGCGGAACGCAAAGGCTGACTGCTTTACCGGGTAGGAAACGCTGCTGTCTCCGGCAGCAGTTCCACCAGCCGGGGCCTCAGAGGTATGAGTACTGAAGCTCATCCCTCGTTAACCACCTTCTGGCTTCCGCCAGTCCCGAGGCTTCACAGGATATCAGCAAGACGGCAGTAAAGGATGCAATACTGGCTGTCACCTGTACCCCCTTTCCCAGGTAAGGGGCCCAAGGCATTTCCCTGTGAAGCAAGGGAGCTTCTGATATACAAAAACCACTTACAAAACAACGGTGTTGGTGGAGACAATGTATTCTACTTCCTTGGTCCAAGGGTTCATGAAACTGAACCACCGACTCCGTAGTGTGATGAAAGAACCATCTTTGATCTTAAACTTATAGCAATTAGTTGTAATCTTTTCTCTTGTCTGTAAAACTGAAAATACAAAGAGACCATGAACATTATTGTTTCCTCAGACAAATGCATTAAGCTAACCAAATCCTAAGTGCGCTCAGGCTCCAAGGCCATCATCCCTCTTTAATAAGCCACAGGAGCTGGCACTTCAGAGAATAGGTTGAAAGTTTCTGAGGGTCTGTCTCTGAGCCTTCCAATTTGGTTGTGAACCTGTCACTGTTCTTCAGAGTGTATGAAATGAAGGCTCTGGGAATAACTGACTGCATTCTAGACATCTAACTGGAATCAGCTATGAAGTAAACACCACACAACGAGAAGGCACTGTCCAAAGGGCCCATGTTATTTCCCCATCACAAAGCCTGAAGGCAGTACAGCATTTTTAAGACATTTGGATTCAGAGAGGTCACTCACCTACGGAAACCTCATTCTTTCATGTAACAAACATGTAATGAGCATCTTTCATGTGCCAGGCACTGGAGGTAAAAGAGGAGACAGGATGTGACTCCTGCCCTCAGGAGAGGCAGAGGAGATCAGAGTCTTGAGGGATGAATACAAGTCTGCCAAGGGGAGAGAGGGAAGGACCCAGCACTGCCCGAGGAGTAGCAGGGCCTGGTAGGGCAGGGAATGGAGAGATGGTCAGTGTGGCTGGAGCACAGGCCTCTGCAGGCGGAGATGGGGGCAGGGGTGAAGCTGGGGAGGTGGGTCAGGGCCAGAAGGTGGAGGGTCTTTTGAACGCCTGTCAAGGGTGATTGGGCTTGAGTCTAAAGGCAGGAGGTTTTAAGCACGGATGTGACATTATCAGGCTCGATCTAACAGAGCGTAAATGGGATAGTGACGGAAGATGGACTGGGGACAGAAGCGAGTGGGGAGGCCTGTTAGGAGTCCATCACAATTATCAGGTGGGTACAAGGGCTGAACCAGGGTCTTGGCAGTGGAGGTGGCAGAAAGGGGCCTCTTTGGAAATGCATGTCTGAGGTGAATGAACAGTTCTGATGGAGGAAAAAGGAAAGGAGGGAGTCGATGTTGGTTTCCATCTCAGGAGGCTACATATTTGGCCATGCCACTAATCAAGAGGGAAATGTAGGAGGCGATGCAGGGTTTTGCGGAAAAGAATTAGATCCGTTTGGGCCATACGAAACCTTTATAGGGTCCAGATAAATCCTCTGAACAAGAGATGCCTTCCGGAAACTGCCCTGGCCCAAGTATAGAAATCTGCTAGGCAGTGGGGTGGGGGGTTATCCGTAAGGGGCTAGATGGGGCCGGGCGACGCAGTAGCCTCCTCTCCTCACAGATGTCTTGGCCTGAAGACCCCTGGGCTGGTTGACTCCCACGTCACAGAGGCAGATTTCTCTGCGAGGTTACGTGGACTAGTCTAGAAGCGGGGTGGGGGGGGGGCACTTTAAACTTAAGACCTGTTGTACAACCCAGCTTACCTTGCCTATGACATTCTGCGAGATGTCCTATGTCATCTTGGTGAAAATATTCATAACATGAGGTGCCTAGAAGTTCTTGTGGTAAATATGCCAAAATAGCTGTTGCCCTAAAAGGGAATTTTTTTTTAAAAAAAAGAAAAAGCCATTCAGACGATTAACAGCATCTCTGCACCGGCTGAATCCCGCTACAGCCAGTGAAAACAAGGTCAAAGCCGGGTGGGTTCAGAGGGCTTATTACATGGGTTTTGCTTTTTGGTTTTCTTCTCATGAAACTGACTTTAATCAGGGCTATAAAAACAGAGGGAAAGAAAGCAAAGAATCCTTTCAAAGGGGCTGTTAGCACAAGATACCAAATTTAAGGAGGTTTAAAAGTAGTAACTGTATTAGATAAAAATGTGGTAGAACTCTCAACTCCAGGGCAAAGCTTCTCCAATTTACCGGCTGCTTTTTACCAGGATGACCAAACACCAGAAGCTCCAGCAGCGGGGCCCACAAGGACCTTGAGAGGTGGCCACCTCCTTTTCCAGTATTTAGTGACTATATCTAATAGCCAGAAAAATTACTACCCTGTGAATACTCTTGAGGAGGCAGCAGAGAACAGTGGAAATTTGGGGCCATCTGGGTTCTTAGCCCAGGTCTCCTGCCGATGGGTTGTGAATTCTGGAGAAGGCCAGGCTTCAGGCTGAGCCCCAGTTCAACCACCATAAAAAACGAGCCTGGACTAGATCAGTGTTGTCCAGCAGAACTTTCTGAGAAGACAGAAATGTTCTACCTGTGTGGGAATAGAATCTAAAAAAGAGTGGATATGTTTATATGTATAACTGATTCACTTTGCTATACTGCAGAAACTAACACAACATTGTAAGTCAACTATACTCCAATAAAAACTAATTTAAAAAAACAGAAATGTTCTGCATGGATACCATTAGACACATGTGTCTGCTAAGTACCTGAAATGTAGCTAGTGAGCCTGAGGAATTGAATTTTTAATTTGATTTAAATTGATTAAATTAAAATTAAATTGCCGTATGGGGTTACTATAGCAGATGACTGACTGTACTGACAGCTCAGGACTAGATAATCTTTTCCGAGTCCCACATGCCAGAATTTCAATCACAGTAATTAATGGTCCTGGAACCTTCCATGGATTCAGATAGCATACTATGCCTACTATTTCTCTTTCAGCCATGGACATCAAACCACCCCACTTCATTGTCTCTACATGTCAAAGAATGACATGGAGGAAAATCTCTGCATTTATGATGATAACCCACTGGGTCTCAGTTTTCAGCAGATACACCCATCATTTCCTTCTCTCTATCCCTAAGAAAGACAGCCGATGGCCCAGTCTTCTCTGCTTTACTCAGGGTTGAAAACCCTCTACCATCATTGTTCAAGGGTAATGTGCAGACTCTTACCTCTGGTCTACAAAAACAAACTTCCCATCTATTGCATGTCGAGAAACATATTCCATAGATTTCACCCTGATTTCCCCGTTTGCCGGTTGTGGAACCATGTGAGAGTGCAGTCGTCCGATGGCGACAAGGCAGCTGAGATTACACCCCTCGTTGTCTGGCTCGTTGTCTTCGTCCAGCCCCATTTTTGTGGGCGGCCAACTTTTCAAATAGCCTGTGCTGTGGATTGTGCAGAAGCTTTTTCGATCTGCTAGAAAGCAAAGTCCATGGTCAATGTCAGTGTGGCTCTGGGGCCTGGGGGCACAGGCAGCCTAGTCGGGGGATGTAGGTAGGGAATCAAAATATGAAAACCAAAGCCTTACTGTCCAGAAGTTAGCATCTAGTGAGAGAGAAGACAGAAAGAACAGGTATCATCCAGTGTCATTTACGCCTTGTAGAGCTGGTTACAGCAAAAGGGCATCACATGCACCAAGGAAGCAGTAGCTAAATCTCCCTGGGGAGAAGGCGGCCGCCCCGAAGAACTATGAAGGAGGTGGATCAAGAAGGATGAGCACTGGGTAAAAGGGACCAGAATCTGTAAAGGTTTGAGAACATACAAAGGCACAGAGAGGTATCCTGTACAGGAAACAGCAAAGAGCTCTGTGTGGTTGAAGGGAAAAGGGAGGCGTTGGGGGTAGAGTTGGAAGGGCAGCTTGGGAGCATATCGTCGGAGCCTTGGATTATTTGCTCACAAATGTGTTAACCTTTTTCAGATAGGAAAATGGAAAGCTTCTGAAGGTATTTAAGTGGGGAAACAGCAAAATCACATCGTGATTTGGATGTTCTAGGAGCAGAGTGTTGTTGGGTGAACCGGAAGACATGCACGAGATGCTTCATGGCAGTGCCGTGAAGATGAGGCAGGGCAGGACACAGGAGAAATTTCTGAGCTTGAACTGTTGGGATTTGGTATGAGTATCAAAATATTTGGTATGAAAAAAGAAAATAAAGATGACTCCAGCTTCTTTTTCAGGTTGAGTGGTTAGTGGTACCACTTTTTCAGGTTGAGTGGTTAGCTGGTACCACTTTTTCAGGTTGAGTGGTTAGCTGGTACCACTTTTTCAGGTTGAGTGGTTAGTGGTATTATACAATTTACTGACTCAGGGCAGAGAATACAGAATAAGTTTTAGAGGAGAGGGAGAAAAGATTTCAATTTGGGACACATTAAGTGTGGAGCACCTGTGGATTCCAACAGTAAACACATCCTTACAGAATAGTTTACCAAGCATCGGGTCTGTGCTAGTTACTGGGAAACAGTGGAAAACAAATCAGACCTGCCTTTGTGGAATTCAGTCTAATGGGGAAGAGAGATTTTAAACAAATAATCGCGCAAACAACTACATAACTGCAACTGTAAGCAAGTGTTAGAAAGAAACCCTGCAGGGTGCTACAAGCAGACATAAGGCAGCCTGAGGGAGGGAGGGAGTGACAGACATTGAGGTCCACTCTAAAGGACGAGCTCAAGTGAGTCAGGGAGGGAAGCTGGTGGCGAGAGAGGGGCATTCCCCTCAGAGGTGACAGAGCGTACGGAGACTTTGGGTAGAAAGGGTTTGGAGGCATCGGAAGGAGGTCAGCAAGTCTCAAACGTACCGAGTAGTGTCAGGGGCGGGGGCTTGCAAAGTCACATGAAGGATTTTAAACTTTTCTTCAAGAGCAACGGGAACCACTGAAGGGTTTGAAACAGGGGGCTGATACGAAGATTTGCTCTTTTTTTTTCTTCTATTTTTTGGCCACGCCGCATGGCATGCGGGATCTTAGCTCCCCAACCAGGGATCGAACCTGCACCCCCTGCAATGGAAGCGTGGCGTCTTAACCACTGGACAGCCAGAGAAGTCCCAAGATTTGCTTTTAGAAAGGTCACTCTGGCCACATGAGGGGCTGGAAAGCGTGAGGAGCCTGCTTCACCAGGCCTGTGAGATCCAGGGTAGCCTCCATCTAGCGATAGTAACAGTAAACATGGAGGTGGATAAACATACTTCGGATAACTTCTGCAGGGGCAATTCATGGCAGCAAGACTTTATAACTGACTAGATCAGGAGGGATGGAAAGGGGGTGAGGGCGCCCCCCAGGCTTCGGGCACGCACAGCTAGATGGACAGTAGCGCCATCTACCTTCGAGGGAAAGCTCAGGTGGTTACTCCTACATATATCACATGTGAGATGCCCTTGAGATGTCCAAGCAGGTAGATTAAATAAGCAGTTAATTTACAAACCTGGAGTTCAAAAGACAAGTGCAGGCTAGACATAGGAACTTGGAAGTTAGTGGCATATAAATGTCATTGAAAGCTAAGGGGGCGGATGACATTACCTATGGAGGAGTATATATCTACTCTTAAGAGAAGACGGCTGGGGACAGAAGAGGAGGAAGCAACAAAAGGAACCCGGAAGAAAGCCCGGAGTGGGAGAGGACAGGAAGAAGAAACACTTCACAATGGAAGAAAAATGAGAAGTGTCCACTGCACTTAGCCACCTGCAGGCACTGGTGAACTCAGAATAATTCTGGTGGGCTTGTGGGTGCTGGGGAGGCAGGGGGCTGTGACTTAGAAAGTATCCTTTCCCAACCACAGGAAAACAAACAGGACTTAAACAGAGGGAGCCTTCCCACAAACCTGTGTCATCGTGACGCCCTCAGGGTCTTCCAGCTCCCCCCGCCCGCTCCCCAACTGCCCCCATTGAAGGGGGGCTAGTGAGGTCCTGGCTGCAATCCCTGACCCGCTGTCTGAGCCCATTCCCTGCTGAGCGCTCCACCTGTGATAGGATTTAAAGAACTGTTAAGTGGTTACCTTTTTTCTTTGAGCAGGTGGAGGGGAAATCCTTGTCTTCAACCTTTACGGAAGGTCTGTTACACTTCATCCTACAGAAGAAAGAACGCCGTGCTCCAGAACATAATCGAGATGGCCCAGGGGTTATATCTGTTTTAACTGGAAGTCCAGCTGCAAATCAATACACAAAATGTGATAAACTGAGGGTAGTGTTGTCTGTCAGGAGGGGGAGTGTGCCCTTGAAGAAAGTCTTTTCTTTCCTGCCTCGCTGTTTCGTAACAATGACGTGACAATAACCCCTCTCCTCAGTCTAGGCCTTAACAGATGCTGTATGGACAGGGGCGCTGTCAACCCGGAATGCTTACAGATCACGAAGAATGCAGCGACTGATGAATGGACTAGGTGCTCCAGGGAAATAAAGAAATACACACAGGGTTCCTGTCCAGCAGGAGTGGACGGCTGAGAAGGCGAGATGGAAGTTCACCAGGAAAAGACTAATGATAACACAACGTGACATATGAGTGATCAGTGCCAAGTAAATGGCAGAAACAATCGGTGTTTCCCAGAGGCAGAAGCAGGTGGGCTGGGACTTGGAGGATGGGCAAGACCTGGATACTGGAATGGAAAGGAGGCAGCAGGACTGCCTTAAGTTCTCAACCCTGGCTGGATGCCAGAACCCCCGGATGCTTCATCAACCTGCAGATTCTGGGACCCCATTCTAGATCTGTGCTTCCCAGTGTGGTAGCCACTAGCTACACGCAGCTATTGAGAACTTGAAATTGGAGGTGTGCTGTACGTGTGAATAAAAATAGGATTTCAAAGACTTAGTACCAAAAAAAATGTAAAAGCCCTCATTTTGGATTTAGTGTTAAATACAGTATTAAAGATAATTCTGTATTTATTTTCACTTTTTTAAACGTAGCTACCAGAAAATTTTAAATCATATAAATTTCACATATAAATTGGCTCGTATCTGTGGTCTGAATTACGGTTCCGGACCAACTGAATTAGAGTCTCCGGAGAAAAAGCACGACTGTGATAGAAACATCCTGATAGAAACATGGGCTACTTGTCGGTGCAGAAGCCGGGGCTGCAGATCACGTCTGGGGGGAACAAGAGCCCACTGCCCACCACGGGAGCAGCCATCACAGGAATGGCTACTGCCGGGGGCTCCTCCTGGCTCTCCCTGCTCTCACCTACCTCCCGCACTGCTGCCTCAGTGATCCTCCCTGAATGCCAATCCGAGCCCGCCCCGCCTGGTTCACAGCCCTTCACCGTGTCCCCACAGATGAAAAGGTCTTCGTGGTCCAGCCCTCTCCCTCCCCTGCATGTTCTGTTCCAGCGGCATCAGCAGCCCACAGCACCGCACGTCTGCACCCATCCACAAATCATTTCCTCTGCTCCTTTCCCCCCTTCATCATTTGGCAAACATTAATTCATCTTTTCAAACCCACCTGGAGCTGTCACCTGCTCCGTGATGCCTGTACCCACGCCCACGTGAGAATTAATCATCGTTCTCTATGCCTGGTACTACATCTATGGCTGCACCTATTGTGAATGGCACTGTCTCTTTGTCTCCCTGACTACATGGTAAGAGCTTTAGAGGCAAGGACCAAACAGCATTCGTCTTTCTCTTCTGAGGTCACTAAAAAAATTGCAGGACCATATACTATAAAGGGCAACAGGTACCAGGGACTGCATTGTACTTACAGGAAGAAGAGGAGTGCCTTAGTGAAAAGGATGATTTAAGGGAGATTCCTCTGGTGGTTATTTCCTTCCAGAGATTACAATGGAGAGCTTGGAAGCAAGAAACTAGTTAGGCTATGATGGCACTGGGCCAAGGTGAATATACCACGTTGTGCTTACTCTGTGCAGGAAACTATGTACTCCGTTATTAGCATATTAAATCCTCACAACAACTTGATGAAATAGGTAACATTTTGCCGATAAGGAAGCTGAGGCACAGAGAGGTTAAGTAACTTGCTCAAGGTCACACAGCTAGTAAATGGTGGAGCCAAGATGCGAGCCCTGCATTTGACTCCTGAGTCCGTGCTCTTAACTGCTGGAGTGCACAGCACCCCCATGGGGCTGAAGGAGAAGAGAGCTTCTGTGGCCTCACACAGGAAGCAGGGAGCGGGTGCAGGAGCAGGAAGCTGGGGGAGAACGCGAGTGGTGGCTCCGCTGCTGCAAGAAGGAAGCAGGGAGGCGGGCGGAAGGGCGGGGCAGGGCATCTAATGAAGAACCACTTTGGTCAAAGAAGCGTCATATTTACACTTGAAGTTTTCTTATTTTCATCTTATGAGGCTGCATGAGTGCAACTCAGACAAACAGAGGTGATTTTTTCAGGGGGAACAAATCAAACTGATGTGAACCCTTTTAACTCAGGAACATACAACTTGGAATTTCTAAATTCTGAAAAAAAATGACTAAAAATCAGAAAGAATCAAATGAAAGTAGCTGTTTCTCCTCTCACGAGCTTGGACATTGAATTTTTTTCTTCTTTATGTAAAACAAAAGAGAAACAAACACAAAGTAACATAAACAATCCCACTTAGCCAAAGACAGCACCTGGGACCCAGATAAAGGGCAGAGAGGCAGGAACCCAGAGGCTGAGGTCCGCACACACTGCTCAGCCCGGCGCTCGGCCGTCTGGGCAGGCAGCTGAGGAAGCAGCGGTGGATCCCAAACTCACTTTTTGCATCTATGAGCCGCTCCCGGGGTGCAGTGTCAGAGGAGGACAGCTGCTCCTTGACTTTGGCGATATCTTTAGGATGCAGGTAGTCAAATAAACTCTGACCAATCAGATCATTCTGTGGGAATGTATCATCAAAAAGGACAAGTCAACGGCACGTGGAACATATATTAACCAACAAAGGGCTTGGCCTTTACTCTGCATTTTTAAGCACGAGGATTTCAAATATTTCATGTGTTAACGTGTACACACGTCTAGTCACTTTGCCTAGATATAGACACAATGAATGAGGCACTGGGAGTGTGGTTTTGATAAGACACGAAGGAAAAAGGGCTCAACCACGTACATAAATAGTTCACGCTCCTCTAAGGCAAAAGTCTTTCAGTATGTATTCCTTTTCATTTATTTCTGAGGCCTACAGATTTCCTTCTAAGACCTCAGAGGGAGGAATGTAGGGCGTGGGCTCTGACTCTAGCTCCATTAAACCTCTGTTCTTAAACAAGTTGTGTCATACTATTCGCCTCACTAGCCTAATTGTCAGCAGAGATAAAAATAACTTCTTCCATAGCTTTGCTCTAATGACTAAAAAGAGCAAAACACCTTGGAAACATTAAATTTACATTAATTCTAATTTATATAAATGTTATTTTGATTCTGCAATTCTTCCGCTTTACTAAGTTTCCATGCAAATACCAGCATGTGAATGAGTGAATGAATGAAAAAAACGAGTAAAAACTCTAGGGACAAAATAGGTGAAAAGCTCTGTTCTAGAAGCACTTATAAATGGTTATCTTATATGATCCTACAAACGGTCATAGACTGTATGGATTATTACAATCGTTTTTTAGAGGACGCTGAGGTTCAATAGAGCTAATAAGTGACATATCACTGTAAACACAGTATGGGTGGACTCCCATTTTTCTTATTCCCTGGTATTGTATTGTCTGCCTACCTGTCTTCCTTGTCAGACAGCCCCTTGCCCCCCTACCCCTACACTGTGGGCAGCAGTGAGAAAGTTACAATGCTGATAAGGTCGAACTTCCCAGTGGGGAAGCACATTAAAGGAAGTTTTCTAAGTTTATATAAATTTCTGTGTAAAGAATTTTCTGGAAGAAGGATGGGGTGGGGGAATAGATAAGCACTTCACATGTCACTTGTCCACCATAATTATTCTGAGAAGTGGGGGTGACCTTTTTGGCTGCTGTGAGGCTGCCCAGCGCCAGCAGCAGGAGCAGTACCTGGCTGTAGTTGAGGATCTTGAAGACAGACTCTGACACAAAGAGGATCTTCCCTCGGTCACATCCTACGACAAACAAAAATCCATCTGCTGCCTAATCAGGAGAAATGGATAATCAATTTATCACACTTTAGGAAACATGATTTGTAGTCACTCTGATAGCAAATAAGGATTGTTAGATTCTAAGTATCCAAAGCACAGGACTGCAGTCATTGACAGTTTCACAGGTATCCTGAGAACAGGATGTTCAGAACAAATGCCTTCTGAGAATAGTAAGATTCTCTCCAAGGCAGATATACACACATGTATTATCTAATGATTACAGGGCAAAGTCCCATTAGAGTAAGTTCTGTTTCAAAGCAGAACTCAGCTTAAGAATTTTCCTTTGATTACATGAAGGTCCAGAGCAATCCATTTCGTTGCTCTAAGTATAACAATGCTGTAATATCACAGAATCTGAGAGCGGAAGGAAACTTTAGGATCAGAACCCCCTGGTCCAATATCGCAGCCTCCATCTGTCCTCAACTCGAACACCTCCATTTCCAGGGAGCTCTCGGGAACAGTGGTTCTCAACATTTGAAGTGGGGTTTGCTTTTGGTTTTTTATGCTGATGGTCTGGAATGGGGCTAGATCACTGGTACGATTATTACCCCCTCCCCACCCCACCCTTACCCCCACCCCAAAGTGATTCTAATGTACACAGGCTCGAGAAGTTCTGCTCTCAAGTATTATCGCTTGACCCAGGGCTGGGCTGTTTGTATCCTAAATGATACAGAAAAAGAAGAGCAAAAATTTCCCCTGACTTTCTTTTCACCTCTTCTTCACTTTAAATACAGGTAAAAATCCAAAGGGCCAGTAAAGATAGGTGTGGAGACAGGACAGTATTTGTTGGATAGACTGAAGCAGGTGAATACCAAAGCTACGGTACCTGAGAGCTTAGGATGTTTTGTGCATGTGTGACTGAATCCTATCCACGACTTTCCAGGCGGGCAACTACTCAACTCCTGTTGGGGCCTTCCCGGTGCCAGGGAGGGTGCTCCGTTCTCTACCATGTACTCGCTCTATATTCAGCTACCACGGTCTAAATCACAGTGCGTCATTATCTTGCGTTATTTGCTGGGCCGCAGTCTGTCCTTTGGAAGAATCTAGAGAACCCTTTTCCACAAAAGGGCCTTCGGGATGCAGTTTAATTCAAAGAACTAGGAAATGAATTCACGTGCCAGAAGGTAACAGAATGGTATAATGCACTTGTGCTGGGATAGAACAAGTGAGTAAAAGGGGAACAGATTCACTATTGCTGTGAGAGGGCTTGGCAGGCTGTCCTGCCAGAAGGAAGCTGGGGATGATCCTTTCCTAAGTTAGGTCTCTGAGCTGGCCCAGGGGCAAGGGATGACGGTGAGGGGGAAGCGACTTCCCAAGCACCATCTGCTGGAAGCCTCATTCTGTCAAAAAAGAGAGTATTAATAACTTCCTCACTTGCCTTGCTGACAATCTTATATCTTAACGAGAGAAGTGAGTATTTTGAGGCTTTTCATTAATGAAGCGATGTGGCGCAAAAGATGCCTGGGAAGAAGGTGCTCGTGACATCCTGGAAAAAATGCTGGGCAGAGTCAGGCCCAAACTGGTGACACGAGTGCAGTGGATCTGAATACATGCAGGGGAGGGAGAGGAGGTTCCAGAGGCCGGTGAACACGGTCAGCGCAGGGGAGGCATAAACATTCCGACACCACTTTACTCGGGCAGATAAACACCAGCAGGTGAAGGAGCCGGGGCTGAGGGGACAGCCAGAGGGCAGAGGGGTGAGAACACGAGCACCACGGGGCCCAGGAAGACCAGGGCAGGCTCGCCCTCAGGGAGGACGGTGTTAACTTAGTGAATGACACGGAGCCCAAGCAGCCGCCACGTTTTCAAAACTCGGGACATACAGGATTCAGACACTATAAACTGATCAGGTTCACTGCTCCTTGACACGCCGGTTGTTAAAGATATTTTGAAAGCACTTAGTAAAGAATGCTATTAATCAGATTTGCACTGGTAAGGAAAAGTGGAAGTCCAGTTCCTGCTGCCAAACTGTTCAAACATCATCTGAGTGGACCCTGCCATCTGCTGAAGCAAATTCCCAAGAACTGGGCACCTGGAAGCGGCAAGGAATCAGACAGCACTTCACAGCCACTGAGATGGGCCAGAGATGTGAGAAAAGTTCCATCAGGGAAGACAAATCACCACTGACGCTGTCTGAGAGAGAAGAGCAGAAAAGGCAAGCCCAAGATAAAGTATTTAGCTTGGATAGCGTTAAAACCCTTATTCCAGACCCTGATAAGTGTGGGCATCTAACAGGAAATCATTCAGAAAAGCAGCAACAAGACAATTATTAAGCACTTATCACAAAAAGAGCTGGTTTTACACACATACATACATATATACTTTTTTCTTTAAAAACACCAAATTTGGACTTCCCTCACGGTGCAGTGGTCGAGAATCTGCCAACGCAGGGGACACGCGTTCGAGCCCTGGTCTGGGAAGATCCCACATGCCGCGGAGCAACTAGGCCCATGCGCCACAACTACCGAGCCTGCGCTCTAGAGCCCGTGAGCCACAGGTGCTGAGCCCACGTACCACAACTGCTGAAGCCCCCGTGCCTAGAGCCCACGTTCCACAACAAGAGAAGCCACCACAATGAGAAGCCCGTGCACCACAACGAAGAGTAGCCCCCGCTCGCCGCAACTAGAGAAAGCCCGCACCCAGCAACGAAGACCCAACACAGTCAAAAAAATAAAAGAAAAATTTAAAAAGTACCAAATTATCAGTACGGCAATTAGGACCAGCTACATAATCTGTAGGGCCCAGTACAAAATGAAAATGCAGGGACCCTTGTTCTCAAATACAATTTTCAAGATGGTAACAGCAGAGCATTAAACCAAGTGCCAGGCCCTGTGTGACTGCACAGGTTGCATGCCCATGAGGCCAGCCCTGGTGGTCTCTCTGGAGATGCTGCAGATATAGTTTACATCTTAACTCCAGCAAGTCCTCCCTGAGAACAAGGACATCTTTATGAAAAGGATGGAGAGGTGAGGGCAGAGTTGGGTCTTCCAAGCATGCCTTGAGAGGTAACCAAATGACCATCGCCAACTTCCTGAGAAGGCTGTTTATCAGTGATTGGATGTTTGTAGGACAGGGCCATGCATAACCAGTAAGTACTAAAGTGTTTGCTGAATTAGCTAATGAATGAAAATGGAAGACAGAAGACAGACCTATCCAAGCTTCAAGTCACATGAAGCTGTGAAGGATCGCTAATGATAAGCCGGAACATGGGACTATCCCATAGATAAGATATTTATTGGATCGATAAAAGAGAAGTTCAAAAAAACTGCACCTACGCATGATGGAAAAAACCTGGCCTAACAATAATTCACGTACAAGAGAGCTGGGGAGGGCCGCTATTACAGCTACCCCGGATGTGGCACTAATAAGATGGCTTCTACTGCAAGGGAGGCTACCAGGCGATCCAACCCCAGGCCAACCAGGCCACAGCTGGAGTTCCATACTGGGTTGTGGCAGCCACTCCTGGAGGGAAATCTAGCAGACGGATGCGGTTCTGGAAAGTGTGTGCGGCAACCGCTGCTCCCGACCCCCTTCTCTCCTGCCTGCGTCTACGATACTTTTCTGCAACATGCCTTGCAGCTATGGGGGACCAGGTGACATCTTCTGGATAAGCTGAAGTCCACTATTGTGCTTCCAGGAAGGTGCATCCTTTCTTGGTACAAAAGACGGCTGGCCTGGAGCCTCCCCTGCCCTTTTTCTGGCTTATCAGCTACTGAGAGCTGGCACAGGCCGTCTCACTCCAATGAGGCAACAAGCTGCATGCTAGCTCAGCAGGGTTGTGTGAGAGGACAGAAAGAGCCTGGTTCCTGCTGACCTCACTGAACCTCTACACAAGCCCCTCACAGCCTACCCCAGGAACGGCTATGTTGGAGAAACAAAGCCCTGTTTATTCATCACGTCTTCTGTTCCTTGCAGTTAATACAGCATGTCACGAGGGCATGGATAGAGACTACTGGAACGAGCAGGCAGGCCAGGCTTACAGAGGGCCTGAAGCCAGGGTGAGCTGAAAATGGGTAGCAAAGACGCAAAACTGCAGCTGGACTAGCCTCTGTGCCGGGGCTTTGCAAACTTCTGCTCAGAGAAGTGAGGTCAGCCCTGGCTGTGGCGAGATGGGGCGGGTATCTTTGCCTTAAGTTAGGCTTCTCTGTTTCTCTCTTCAGTTTGCAAGAGGACACGTTTCTGAATTCGGTGTCCCTCCCTTCAATTTCCAAGTGAATCTCGCTCTACCCAGAGCAGACCTGACTCAGCACAGAAGCCAGGTTCCCGCAGTGCCACCTCAGCTGCCTCTCTGCAGAGCCTGGCAGGAGAAAGTGAGCACTGCAGTCACGCAGGTGAAAGCATCGCCCCCTCCACTTATTTTCCTCCTCAGGCCATGGTGTCTTTGGAAGCTTGTTGTTTTGATGGAATTTTGGTATAAAGATTTAGGTGGCTGTTTTTGTGCTAGTGGTTAAGTGATGAGAGAAATTCTCAGTTGCTCTCAGTTTCAGTCCCTTTCTAAAACCTTCCTATTCAGGAAGGGGAGTCTTCATTACCTCCTATTTTAACAAAATCCTGCTCTTCTGATTTAAAGTCCCAGTAGCGTAGACCTTCAGTTTTTGCTTGAGCAAGGGTAGAAGAGGAGGGTCTCAGGGAAGAGATGTGAAGCCTGTTCAAACAGTAAGAACAAGGTGGAGACCCCAAAAGAGGAAGTGAGCCTAAGCAAGTTCAGTGTTGAGACATCAAATTCCCACACGCTGGTACTTAACTCTGAAATTTGTAAAAATAAATGTTGTGTAAAACAATCCCATAATTGCAACATACCCTGAGAATAAGGTGTTTCAATTCATCATCTGATAGAAAAGTCGGTTTGTAGTTTGCTTCTGTGTATGGATTGGTGGCACCTTACAGGGGAAAAAAGAGAAAGCGTTGGAACACTGTATTTTCAGATGTCTCATTCCATTCGACTGCCTCAAACCTTCCAGATGCAGCCAGTCCTTACCACCTGGGAGCTAGACTTTGTCTTCTTTTTCCTTAATGGAGACAGGGCTAGATCTGACTTTGGACAGGAGCCTCTAATGCCGAAGAGAATTCCACCGAAAAGCAGACACTGCTGCCCACAGGAGACTTAGCAAGCTTGCTTTTGTCACTATAGTGAAAATCAGGAGCTGACACAAGTTAAAAATCTGCTTCTAAGAGAGAAGGCAGCTCTAGAAGCAAACTGGTAGAGACTCCTGGGAGGTTCCCTCCTCCCAAGATCTATACTAAATGGGTTGTCTAGCGGTTGCTCAAATCTCCACTCTAAATGTTCTTGGGAAATCATCCAGACTGCCAGGCCCTGAGTAAACACCCTGTAGAAGGCATTTGCTGAGAGCTCCTCTTCATCAGGGTTGAATTAAAGGAGCCTGGCAACCCGGAGAAATGCATTTCTTCAGTAAGTGCAACTCGAGCTCCCAGGACTGGAAGGCACAAGACTTATGTTTAAAAGGCTGTCAATCTGGCATCTTTCAGGAGAATAACTTAGAGAAAAATGCCAGCAGGAAATGACTTGAAATCCGCAGAATGGTTAGTACAAGAGTGAAGAAGTAAAATGAAACGATCCACAACAATTCCAAGTACCACCGGGAAGGAGGGAAACAGAACGTGTCCTGACTTTCATATCAACCAACAAGGCACATATTACTGACCCACGTCCCTGCTTTTTAGGGTAACTTGAGCTCTGCCACTCTTTTCCTTCCAACGTAATAGAAATTAGTTATAATGATTTAATCTCTATCTTCACTAATATGAATTATAAAATATGCCATTCTCCGGGCAAAGGATACAACATTTATATTTTTGAATAATGATCAAAAGTCAGCCCAAACCAGCTACTTCTTACTTCCGGTGGCTTTGTAGAAAAATAAAAGACGTAATTCTTTTACCACACAGGTCAGAGATCTGAGTGAGCGCCCACTTTCCAATTTCCTCAAATAGTCCAAGACTAGCTGTGGAAAATTCCAGGAACCGCATTCACTAAAATGCCTGATACAGTTCGGATTTCTCCTGTGGTGTGGATAAGTCACTTCCACGTCTCTGCCTCTGTCTTCTCACCCTCCCCGCACTCAGAAAAGAAGGAAAACACTGCTTCCCTCATAAAGAGTTGATCTGGTTTGGGAAAATTCCAGGAAGATGAAAATATCATCAGTGTTCATTCCTGACGATAGAACGCAGCAGGTCCCACCAACCAGTGACTCACTCTTCAAAAGGAACCATGATGAATTTTCCTCTTCAAAACTGAAACTGACTTTCCTGTGTCACTAAGGGCACCTACATTTCTGATGTATATCATTGTATGGGTGGGGCCCAGGCACCACATATGCACAAGCTGGCACTTCAGCGGTGTCCTCTCTGGTATGCATGTGCATATACACATGCACAGGACATAGCCTCCACCCTCTGGAGACGTAGGACGGCAAAACTGCATCTTGACACCCACAGAAGCTCAATAATCGTTTCATTTGGCATCAGGTCTACTGCTGAAAAGGACAGGCATATTACTCAAGGCTACACATTTGCAAGTAATAAACATTTGTCCCTAAGGGGACTCGGGAACAGTCTAGGAAAGGGTGGTAACATTTGTGAGCAAGGGCATAAAGGACAATAAAGCCGGGATCTCACCTCGTAATGTTTTCATGTGCTGAACAGCCATCCTCAGCACAGTAAGTTTATCTAATTTCCTGGACATCGCGTTGCATGTTGGTACCAAAGAAGCCAGTTCATCAATAAAACTATTCATTTTATCCCGACGCCTCTTTTCAATCTGGCTGTGAGCTTCCCTGAACAACAATATGAAAAATGATTTCTGTAAAATGCAACAGAGCATCAAGGAAACGATGAAAATAAATTGTAGCTGTTTTCAATATTCATCTGTCAAGGCAAATTTAGAATCTGCAGAATGTTTCAAACTAGGCCTTCCTACTAAAGTCACCCAAAAAAGTGGGCTCACTGCCAGGTCAGTATTAGGTTTTTTTTATGCTCACCTCATCCTTAGAATTGAGAAATATTACAAAAACTGTCTTTTCAGAGTAAACTGAGCTGTTAATTTCTCCTCATTTCTTTTCCTCTCAGCCCCGATAAGGTTGGATTTTAAGACGGGGGTGAAGGAAAGAAGGGAGGTGGAGAATTCAAAGGGCAAAGCATCCGGAACAGACATCTGTGAGGGCGCCACGCTGAGCTGTCTCTGAGGTTTGTGGGGAGCCTGCTGTGTGGCCCGTCGGAGACCGACTGATTGAGACACCAGGTAACTAACGCCGCCGTCCTTGGATCGGCCATGACCCCACCTAGACGCAGCACTTGCTACATCTGTCCCCAAGAGTTTCCACTGAGGAATGTCACACGCCTTCCTCCCTGGAATTGCTGCCTGCCAGAGTCAGCGTGACACTTCCATGGGCACACACTCCCTCCCTGACTGGTTTGCACCTGTCATTCGTGACTGTCCCCCTCAAGAGGTGTGTCAACAGTGGAAACGTAGTTTGCTGCCACTGCCATAGCAACAGAACCGTGGGATCTCTCGCTAAAGCTGGTCCATGAGGGAAAAGGCAGAAGTGTCAGGTCAAATTCTGCAGCCCCTGGTTCTGTGTCACGATACAGACTCAAATGGCCCTGGGGCTACTGGCAGGAGAGCTCAGTATCTGCATGGAAAGGAGTCGCAGGCATGGTTGGAAGCAGGAAAGACGGAGTTAGAGAATCTCCTTGAGGGAGCAGGGCACCCCCAGGTCTAGCCTTCAACTGCACCTCGCAGAGCAATAAGGGCACTTTCAGAGGCTTGGGACGGCCCAGGGAACCGAGTCACTGAGCCAGGTCTCCCCGAAAGGGCCCTGAGTCAGGAAGGAGTAACCCGCTGAAGACGGAGAAAACCTTGATTTATCTTCTGCTCCCTCCAAAGTCCCCTTCAAGTTAACTGTGCTTAGACAGCAAAGAGTGAAGGCAGCTCAGCCTGGAGGGATGGAGGGAGGGGCAGAAGGCCACATCAAGCCCGGGCCCCCCATCCCCTTCCTCCTTCCCTAAGGACGTGACAGTGTCGAAGACCGTCTGACAGACAAGGACCAGATATGCAGAGCCTCCTTGGCTACACACCAAGCAACCAAACCAGGACAGTTTATAGACAGAATGAGGGTCCAAGCTCACCTTGCATTTTTGATCCTTCCTTGGTGCTCTGTGTATTCTAACCTGGAAAAAAAAAAAAAAGAAGAAACACAATGTCCTGGAGATTGACAGCAGAGTTACACATCTGTTTTCTTCCCTGCCTTATCCCTGTCATCTCTACATGACACACAAGAGCTCTGGTTGTTGGCCACACTGGGGGTGGGGGGAGGGAGACAAGTTCAAGCCCACAGGCTCAAGGCCTCCTTGCTTATCCCTAATCAAGGACATGGATGGAACCTGCACCAAGTAATAGAATGTTTAATCATGCAAAGAAAATGGCTCTAAGGATGCCGAGGTTCAAATGACTAGATTCATGGTACCTTCCATGAGGGTCATCTTTGTCTGTGTCCATGCTTTCTCTGAGAAAACAAAAGAGAATGTGACTGTTAAGACATACAAAATAGCTTCTTATCATAATACAGAAGGCCCTCATTTATCCAGAAACCAAGCAATTAGAAAGCTCAAATAGTCAGAGTATTGACTCTTGATGTATAAAAGTAGAACAAACAAAATCAACTTGAACCTACTATAAAACCCAGGCCAAACGAAAGTTATATATACCATCTCAATAGAGTTCGCGTGTTAACATATTTTTACCGTATTGATTGAGAAAATTGGGAATACATACAGCATTTATGGAAACTCTTAGGTAACCAGAGTATCCGAGTAACTGTAACACCTCATTCCCCCCATCATTCTGGATAAATGGGGTTCATTCATTTGCAAAACACATCAAGCATCAAATATACTATATATTTGGTGATGGTGGGTGAGGTGAGGAGGGGAAATCAAAGTACCCACGAAGAAGTATTGAGCAGAGCCCCAGGCCAGCTCTTCAAAGGCACTGCTACCCAATGCTCTGGTTCTCAGCCTGGCGGGAAACCCCGAGCCCTGAGGAACTGGGACAGAGGGAGGCATGGGGCTGGGGGGCCACAGAGATTCCTGGGGCCACAGCAGGGATCTGCCTTCCTTGCATGGACTCCAGAATCCAGTTTTCACGTCACCTTGTGGTTCAGTAGAAAACAGATTGAAATCCTCAGACGAAGGAGTTCTAAATCCCCTGGGTCAGCTCACACCCTTCTCCGACCCCTAAATCGCTCAGGAGTGGGCACTGGCCACCATCTGGGCCTCCTCCTTTCTCCCGTAAGAAAGGAGGGATTATGGCCTTCCAAACAATGTCATCTCAAGGGCAAAGACAACTTTCTCAGGAGCACCGAGGCACATCACGGGCATTCTAGAACAGTGGTTCCCAACCAAGAGCCCTCGATTTCCTCACAGGCAGAGACTTTCTCTAGCTAGTCCTGAAGTTCAGAAGAAAATCTACAGGCCACAGGGGAAAACGACAACTCTCTCTTCCCTTTTGTCTAGACTTGTATCCGCTCACTGAGGCAGATGACCATCTCAGGTGAAAAGCAGCTCTGCTCTACAGGTATGAGTTTAGTGCATTAAAATGATAAGAAAAGGATTATGGTCGCTTAATTAATAGGGTCTCCACGAATTACAGAAGAGCTGCAAACTGGGGTCCATGCGGGAAACCTGAAAGTTCTGGATGGAGACAAGGTTGGGAACCACAGATCTAGATAGCAGAGGTCTTAGAACATGTCAAGGCCTCCATCAGCACTGGCCCAAGACAAAGGCTCCACAGAAAGCATCTAGCTTCCCTGTTGGGGAGTTACTGCCATGGAAGAACACCCACTCAAGTCCTCACACCCACTCTCCATCCCCTGGGCGTCCACTCTCTTAATCATCTGGGATCACTTACATATTACTCATAGCATCTCCTAGTGGGCATCTGACCTCCAGCCACTGTGCTCCCCAAATTCGACCTGTGAACTTCAGCAGAAAGGACATCTGCTGTAGGGGGATACCTCCTTGGAGATTTTCCCTCATTAAACAGAAGAAAACCTCTCAAATGGACACTTGGGCAAGACTCCACAGCTGCCTCTACAAAACAAAACGTGCCTTTGGATGTTCTATGCTGACTTATTCCCTAGATGTTTGTACAGCTACAGAAGAGTTGACTATAAGTGTGAAAATTTACTTACTCAAAAGAAAAGCCATCTAGTCTTAAAAAAAAAAGTACTATTTAATATAAGAGGAACACACTAATTTAAAAAATGTTTAAGGACAATATCACTGTCCCTATACTGTTTCCAGAGATGACCTCTACTTATTCACTCCAAAAATGTTAAGTAAGCCGTTGATGTCCTCCTGGAGAGAGGCCTTCAGGCAAAGCTCTTTTTGAAACCACTGAGGTTACATCCAGGGACTCGGCCATCTCGCTCAAAAGAGCAAAGGAAAATGAAGAAAGGGGTAAAATGTGGAACCTGGCTTTACGGCTATTCTTTTTCCCTCGATGTGGAACAATCTGGGGACAGGAGCAGGGAGTAAACACCTCAGCAGTACTGGGACGCTCCCTCCTGCTTGCTATCCAGGGGGAAGATAAAGGGCAAAATCAACTACTGTGTGGCCACCTGGAGTTGGATCTTTCATTCCCATCCCTTCTCACAGAGAGGATCCCTTCTTCCAGGAGGGACAGTAGATGCCCTAGATGTTCATGCCTGTGAGCCGACACCAAGTTTAGCCAGAGGAAGACGAGCCCAAAGGCCTTACTGGTAGTCCGTGGAGCTGCCCTTGCGTTTCCGGTTGCAATCCATGCCACCGGTGCCCAGGGGGCTGGAGAGGAGGTCGGTGGCACCTGGGGACATGAAGTCGCTGATAGTTGAAGAAATGTCCATTCTCTGTTCGGCCATTGGAGTCTGGAATAGGTACAAGGAGGCACAGAGGCACGTTTATTTCTACGTGCTCTTCTAAGGTGGAGGACGACCAGGGTGGCTCTGTGGAGGGAAAGGGACTTGATTACAGCACCAACATCTCTCTCACCCAGCCAACCGGATGGAATAGGACCAGGTAAAACTGGAAGGGGCATCATGTTTACTCTAGGAGTTCCTATAGGTAATTTAGGCTCACCCACTCGTTTTTCTTGTAGACACAAAGCTCAGAGAAACTGGGTGGCTTCTCCTAGATCCCCGTGCCAGGGCATGGAAGAACTAAACCAGAACCCAAGGCTCTAGAAGTTACAGCCCTGTGCTCCTCCCACGGAGGGGACCAAGTGTCCCAGATGTTCTGACAGTCCTAAATTAATCTTCTTCTAATCAAATCTAATCAATGAAATAAATATGATCTACCTGTTATCTCTGTATTTTTAAAAATTTATTTATTACTTTATTTATTTTTGGCTGTGTTGGGTCTTCGTTGCTGTGCGCAGGCTTTTTCTAGTTGCGGTGCGCGGGCTTCTGAACGCGGTGGCTTCTCTTGTTGCGGAGCACGGGCTCTAGGCGTGCGGGCTTCAGTAGTTGTGGCACATGGGCTTAGTAGTTGTGGCGCACAGGCTTAGCTGCTCCGCGGCATGTGGGATCTTCCCAGACCAGGGCTCGAACCCGTGTCTCCTGCATTGGCAGGTGGATTCTTAACCACTGCGCCACCAGGGAAGCCCTATCTTTGTATTTTTATTACAAATTTTTATCAAAGTTGTAGGAAAGCAGAAAATATCCTTTCTCAGCCTGTAAGTCCCACTTGGGAGTCAGGAAAAAGTGGTCCCTCTCCATCACTGGCCCAGGCAAAGTCTGTCCTGTCCTCCCAAACTGTCCTTTTGTACTCAGGATTCCACTGCAAGGAAAACCTAGCATAATGAAGTGAAGACACTGCAAACACTTGCAAAACATTTTGAGAATTCATATCTTAAAAGCACAAAGTGAGTCGGCCCAAAGGAGAGGCTGGCAAGTACCTTGCAAGGGACTCCAACTGCAAACCCAGTTGAAGGTGGCCGTGCACTGCCCGCTGTCGGGGTCCAGCTCCAAGTGACGTGACTGGGGCTGTCACTCCCACTCTCTGGGCCCGAGTTTCCTCATCTGCAAAGTGAGAGGCAAGGGTGAGCTCTTGTTTTCACTGTCACTACTGTGCCCACAGATTAGAGATCTGAGCCCTCCTGGTTAGGCATGTGCTGTGTTTTCACTCTCACGACCATTGCTGGAGTGAACATCTTTGTGTGCGTAGCTCTGCACATTTGAGCTATTATCTCTAAAAGTCAGACTGACAGGTCTAAAGGGGACACACATTGTATGTTTTGGTAAATACTGAAACACTGTGCTCCAGAAAAGAACCAATAATTTACATCCCCCAAAAACATCTTTTTTGTCATCTGAAAGAAAAAAAGAAACCTCACTGTTTTTACTTGTAATTTAAAATTATTACGGATGGTGTTCCTACGTTTATATGGGCACTTCTTGGTTTTCCTTTGTGCCCACTCATGTCCTATTTTCCTACCATATTGTCTTTAGGATCGATGGGCCCAACTCATGCTCACCCGGGCACCTGAACTGGTGGGAGAAAAGCATGCAACGATCCCCGACTCCTCTGCTCCATTTACTCTCCCGCTCTGCTACCATACCTGCTCTTTCCTCCTCAAACCTCCAACATCTCCCCAACCCTCATGCTTAGCTGATACATCACTAAGAGGCCAGCGACCACTTTTACCAGCTACCTAGATGCTGCAGGCTAGGACCCCAGCCCCAAAGCATGCTGACCCCATCCTCTCTTACTAGTCCAGACCATCCGCCCCAATCCTGCATCATCCACTTCCCCCACTCTAAAGCATCACTCCCATTAGGATAAGAACACACTGAAACAACTCTCATCTTGCGGGGGAGAAAAACACAACTTTTTTGAACTCCACTCCCTTCCAGTTACTGCCCCAATTCTTTGTTTCCAATTGCTTTCCTCTTCCCTCGCTATAACTCAACTCAAATCAGGCTTTTGTCCCCATCATCCCACTACAACAGCCCCTGTTGGGTTCACTGGTGACCTCCTCATTGCTAAATCCAACAGCAAGTTCTCCATTCCCTCCCTACTCGGCCCCTCAGCACATCTAATAGAGCTGATCTCTCCCTCCTCCCTGCCTCTCAGCTTCATGGTTCTCCTACTTCAGTGGCCACTCCTCTTTGGTCTCTTCAGCTGGTTCCTCTCATCTCCTCACCTCCAGCTGTCCTCGGCCTTCCTCTCTGTCTATACTCACTCCCTAGGAGATCTGTCTAGTTTCATTGCTTCAAATACTATATATGCTACGACAACTCCCATATTTACATCTCCAGCCCAGATCTCTCCCCAAATTCCAAACCTGTATAACCAACCATCACCCTGACATCTCCCTTTGACTATACAACGGAAACATGAAACATCCATAACCAGTCCCTGGTTCTCCCCAAGCCAAGCCTCTTGCTCATGCCCAGGTCAGTAAGTGGCACTTCAATCCTGCTTGCTGCTCAGGCCCCTGACTCCTTTCTTTTCTTCACAACCGGCATCCAATCCATCAGCAAATCTTATCAGCTCAAGATTAAAAAAACATCCAAAATTCAACCAGTTCTCCCCTTTTTCTTTCATATTTCTGCTCAGATGAAACTTCATCAGTGAAGCTTCCCTGAAGAGCCACATAATATGACCTCCCCACCAACTCCTCCTAACCACCCCAGGGCCTGCTTAATTTTTTCCCATCGCCCTTATCAGCATTTGGCCTGCAATAATCTACTTAATTTACTGGCTGTCCTCTCCATTAGACTATAAGCATCAGAAGAGCAGGGACTTTGGTTTACTGCTTGCACCCTTAGTGCCTAGAACACTTTCCAGCACACAGTAAGCACTCAATAAATGCATGTTGAATAAATAAATTTGTATATTAGGAATATTAATCTTTGCTCGTCACAGATGTTGTAAATACTTCCCCCCGCTTCTGCCTTTTAACTTTGCTTATGGTATTTGTATGTGATACTAAAGTGACATGTTTTAAAAACCTTGTCACCCCAAAATAATAAAATTCTCTTCTTTGCTAATGTTTTTATAATTTTTTAAAAAAAATTTAGTTCTTTAATCCACTTGGAAATTATTTTTGGTACACGACCTAAGGGTGGGAATTTCTTACTTCTCTCCAAATAGACAGTTGTCCCAACACCACTCACTAGACCATGTGTCCTGTTACCTGTCACTTGAAATGCCATCTTTATTGATTCGTTTTCTATTTCTGGACTTGCTCTTCTTTTCCTTTGATCTGCTTATTTCCATTCTGGTACCACACTATTTATGATTGTGGCTTTATAATACATTTTAATATCTGGTAAAACGATTCCTTTCCTGCTTCTTACTCTTCATTTTTAGAAATTTCCTGGCTAGTCTGATGTAATCTTCGAGGAGTATTTTATAATCATTTAATCACATTAAAGGCCCTGCCGCAGCTGTAGATTTTGTTGTTATTATTATCATTATTACTGACATTAAGAGAAGTAGGCCAGCAGTGAGCACAGACCTCAGGGTCTCGGTGACCCTTTGGGTGTCAGACCTGTGGTGCCCCCTCTAGCCCCCACTCCTCTTTTTGAACAGCCATACATTTGCATGAGGTGGAAAATTTCAAGTTCCAGGGCTCCTGGAAGAAACCACACTTCCTGAGGGAAGGACTACCATCGGAGCTGCCAATGACAGTCACTCTAGGCAGGGGTGGGTGGGATAGGATTGTTACCTGAAGTTACGGTTCTTAAACCCCAGATCCACCTTGGGAGAAGCAAGGGGCCACTGGACTTGTTGGTCACCTCAAAGCAATTTTCATGTTTTGTCGCTTCCTTTCAGGCAGTCAACTTCTTCCAGAAACCTACAGTGGGGCCCACAGGAAAAGAAATCCCAGACAGGTCACTTTGGAGTAAATGAAAAGTCTCATAGCAGCTGAGGAAGATGGGGAACTTGCTCATGACTCCTGATTACAGGGAGCAATGCTGAGCTGACCGTCCCGTCCTTCAAATGCCTGTTAAACTCAACTGCAAACACATGAGGAAGTCTGCCAGGAGGTATTTTCTGTGAAAAACAACGCCTTTTGAATTACTAAATGTAAATTCTTGGACACGGCCTTAAGAGGAAGAAGATAATTATATTTTTCATTCTCCTACTGGGTCAAAAGCAATAATAACAGTGAACAGTGACTGAGCGTGTACTTGGCGTCAGGCGCTGTTCTTACTGCACCACGTAGATTAACTCACTCAGACCTGAAAATAACTCTGAGGTAAATACTGTTGTTTCCACATTTTACCGAGAAGATCGAGGCAGAGAGACGTGAAGAAACCAGCCGAGGTCACATAGCAGGAGAGCAGTGGGGCTCCAGGAGCTACACCTGCCAATAACGACGCCACTCAACGCTCTCTCCAGCCAGGTGAGTTGCCTAAATGCACACAACGAGGAACCACAGAAAACAAGTCTTCAGGAAACATTAAGCCAAGACAAAATGCCAGCAGGGCCGGTACCTGAAACCGCTGGGAGTGAGCTCAGACGCTGAAAGAAAATGTCCCTGAACATGTGGTAGAGAAATCAGTTCTGAAAAGCTGCTCGTGTTAAATTAAAGCGGAGGGAGAGTTTGCTGCCCTGCCCACCTCCTGCTGGCCCTGCGACCCCTGTGGGAGGAACAGGCTCTGAAGGAAGAAATGGGCTGCATCTGCCCCCACTACTCCCTACCTGCTCCACCTTGAGATGGAAAGACAGATTTTAAATGGGGCCTTCCTGACCTTCCTGAAGCACAAATGCTGGCGCTTCACATTCCGCTGGCTAATTCTTGCATCTTCAATGACCTGCTTTTGTCTTGATCATTATAAAGGTCTTCAAATGAATATCCAGGGATAGAACAGACCGTGTCCTCCCGATTTATTCTTCCTTGCAGTCTGGTTCAGAAACCCTCACTGTCTGACACGGGTAACCCTGTCTGGGCAAGTGCAAACGATGTGACCAGGAATTCTGGACTCCCAGTCCCTAAGCCTCGATGGATAAGCAGCAGGGATGCAAAGTCCCCAGGGCAGGGCTGCTTGGGGGAGGCTCAACACACACAATCTCATCTAAATCTGATTCCCCATCCAGGTCCCACACTATCCTGCCAGCCCCCAAATTCGCAACCCAGGATCCACCCTGGGCGACCTCCCTTCTCCTTCTAACAGCCCAGAGCCCACACTTGGCCCTCGGATGGGTGGGCCCAGCCACTTCATCCATCCTTTACTCATCGCCTCCATCCAGGCTGCTCCCCTCTCCAGTCTCGTCCCCTCCTCACTGTGGTCAGAGTAGGACACCCCCTTGCTTAAAATACTTGAGTGGCTTCATTGCTCTCCCCAAGCCTTCCAGATAAAACCCCAAAAACCCCTAGCAGGATACACCAGGCCTCCGCAAAGGACGTGCTCGCTCTCCAGCCCGACAGCTCATCTGCTACCCAAGGCGCCAGGCTGCTGAAATACTTAAGTTCCCAAGAGCACGCAGCCGAGAGCACGAGGCCTCAGCTGTGCCCACTTTGTTTTACAGGTGTGGCTCCCTTTACCCACTCGGTCACCGCGTGAACGCCTGCGTGCCTTGCAAGTGACCCCAGGTGTACCCTCAGAGAAGCCTCCAGCTCTCCCCGGCTGCTCTGCCCCTCCCCCTCCCCGCTGCGGCCTCTCCGCCTAGACCCCGCCCCTTCCCGCCAGCTGCGCCTGGATCTCACGGCTCAGCATCTCCCAGCACCATGCCTTGCATTTTCTTTCCCCCACTTCCCTGAAATTTAGATAAAGGTTCTCCGTACCAAACTCCATACGAAATTTCTTATTTTGATCATTTTTTTCCAGCACTCATGTTTACTTTATAGAAATAATAAATGCTAACATAGATTTCTGGCACTGTAGTTTGCAAAACAAAAACCATGTTTCATTATATGCTTGGACAAGGTAAGGAAGCTGAATCAGCTGTGACAGTTATTTTTTGGAAAACCGTTTTCTCTCCAGGAAGGTGTTCTTAGATGTAAGACAATAAATGGAACAACGAAAGAAAAGGGACAAAAAACGTCTTCTGTGCTAACTACTTCCAGAAGAGACTTGAGCCAAGAGAGGGGCTCCAAGAGGCCAAAGGTACCTGCGAGAGGGACCCTTGCTGACTGGGGGCTCAGGGCTGGTCCTGGTGCTGCCATCCAAGTGACACATAGCGAGGACGCTCTTGGGAGAGCCTGGCCATGGTCCTGGAGTCAGGGGTCACACGTGTGCCCACTTCTGACCTAGAGATTTCTGAAGGTGGGAGGGAGGCTCTCTGGGTGGCCAGAGAAAGCCAGGCATGAAGGGACCTGGGACGTGTTCCTGGCAAGAGCTTGGGGGCACCCTCTGTCCCACCTCAGTCCCCTTGTGCTCCTCGGAGCATAGGGAGAAGATTCTCTGGGGCTCCACACAAAGGAGCAAGGGTGCTAGCAGGGGTGAGCTTGTCAGCCACTGTTAGGTGCCCAAAGGAGACAGCTGGTACTCGGAGCAGAGCGGGGCAAGGCTGAAGCGCCCCTAAAGAAACCCACACACACCATCCACAGGAAGATGGCCACAGGGTGCCCTCCAGTTGTGCACCAGGCATCTCTGGGCTTTCCCTCCTCCCTGCCCAGAATGACAAGTAGAGAAAGGGGAGCGTGTGGATTGTACCAAGGTTCACACCATTAGCTGCTCTTCTGTGTGGGAAGTCGGCAGGCTGCCTCATGCCAAGCCTGGCCAAGTGACTCACCCTGATGGATGAACGTGAGTGGAAGGGACAGTGGCAACCTTCAAACTGACCTTTACTGTGTGCCCCCGTTTGTGCCGAGACCAGCGACTCCTGGATAGAGGCTCCTCCTTTAGCCAAGACCCTATATGGATGCAGCATGAACAAGAAGTAAACCTTGGCCACTGTGAGCCCCTGAGATATTGAGGTTGTTTAATACCAGGGTGACTGGCTCTTCTGTTTGCCTCTGACCTTCCTGATTTAGCACTGAAGGTCCTGCATCCCCGGAAACCCCTTGGTCCCCTAGTTCTCCCCGCTGTATCACTCATCGCAAGCCGACTGACACAGGCAGGAAGAAGGAAATAGACTCTGATCCTGGAGCCACAGACCAAGCCTGACCTGGGAGGAGGGAGCGGGAACAGTGGCGGTCACACTGGTGGAGTTTAATCTTCACAGTAACCTATCTGTTAATTATGGTCATTAACCCAAATTTCCAGGTAAGGAACTAAGCATTGAAGAGGCAAAGACATCTCGCTTAGCAAGTGGGGACTGAAACCCACATGTGTCTGGCTCACCAGTAGTGGTTCTTTCTTCTGCCACACCACTGCCCATCCTGCCCCCAAAGCCACCCCTACAAAGGAAAATACAAATGCCCCAAAAACAAGCACTCCTGAGGAAGGAATCAGGGAAGTGTGAGGAGAAGCAATCCTGGTTCAGGAAAGCTACAGAAAGTGAAGTAAGAAGTTGTCTGTGGGCTTCCTGGAAGCCAGGGCAGAGAGGGAAACGCTCCTCTTACTTTATTAGGGTTAGCAGGGAGAGGTATCTGTCCAAGAGACTTGTTGGGGGTTTTTTTTTTGGCCACTCCAGGTGGCTTGCGGGATCTTAGTTCCCCGACCAGGGATTGAACCTGGGCCCCAGCAGTGAAAGCACCGAGTCCTAACCACTGGACCGCCAGGGAAGTCCCCAGGAGACTCTTTCTATGTGACCTGAGCAACGCTGTGCCGAACGGCTCTGGCTCTGGGGAAACAAGCTTTGTGAAAGGACAGAGGGCTTCTCCCTTTATAAAATAGGACCCTGGTAAAAGCGTGTTTCCCCTCCTGCCCCCGCCTGCAGGTGTTAACAGCTGGATGGAGCTCTACTGAGACCACTTTGTGAAGCCTCAGGACGTCATGGCTTTTGATGATGTTTAATAAAAGGGCACAGCTTAGGAAAATATGGACGATAGTGAATCAACACCCTTGCTTACCCGTGTCTAGCAGCTACATGCTCACCGATCTACTTTGCCACAAAACCCCTAGCTGCCTGCAAGGACCCCTGTGTGGCCACCTCTGCATCCCCACCACCTTCAAGGCGCTGGCCCTGGACACAGCATCTGCTCCAAAGTACTGTCCTTCCCCCATGCAGAGGAGCGGGGCAGCTGGCCCCAGTTCCATTCTCCATATTCTCAACTCAAGGTTTAATGAGGGGATGAATGTGTGGAGTTGCTCTGGTCTGTTCAGATGGTGGTGGCCTTTGAGCAGAGGTGAGAGACTGAAGGGCCCCCGTCCCCTCTGCAAGTCCCCCTGATCCTCTGGTTACTCTGAAATTTTGTGGGGAGTTTGGCTGCCTCGCTTTGCAACAGACGGATTTAGAGAACATTCACCCATGAGACCAGGTGCCTCGACCCTAAGGTAACCGGGGTTTGCACCACGATCAATCAGCAAGCATTTCTTTAGCCCTAGTGGAAGCCAGGGCACTGGGGACACAGGAGGGTCTGTTTAAGATCCCCTCAATCCTGATCACTGCAATAGGCAGGGCCGTGCCTGCAGTTGTGCAAGCAGTGCACTGTCCCATGTCAGTGTACCTGTGCCTCTGTTAAGTGGCAGAGATTTGTGGCGCCATTACTACAAATTTCCAGCAGGTGGCAGTCAAGTATCTTGAGGAAGAAATGCCTTTTTCCCCCTAGCTGTGGGGCATTTGTGAGGTACAGGAGCAGAACAGAGGAGAAAATGATTAGCTTACTTGCAAGTGTGTGTGGGGTAATGGAAGGAGAAGGGACCAGGGAGGAGGGGAGACTTGAACCAGGTTTGCCTGGTGGACTGGATGATTAGAATGATGTTCTGAGCAGAGGAGAGCTCATTTGCAGTGGCTGTCAGGGGC